AGGATATAAACATAAAAATATATATGCATCAAGGATTCCAAACTTCAAAAAAAATGTTTTTTTTACTGAGAAGTGCAGCCAATAGAAAAGGTTACCAGAACAGGACTGCCCCAGGGGAGGAAAGGAGTCCGAGGGGGTGGGTGTAGAAAAGACAGACTCAGGATAGCTGTTGGCGGCCCCTGCTGGATGTTACCAAAAGTGCAACATTACTCAATACAGCTCCAGAGCTACTGAAATTCAGAATACCCAGCCTGAGCTTTATTTCTCTCTGTGCCCTGACTCCCAAAGCTCTGGGGAAGCAGAGACACTGCCTTCATCCCTGTAACTTCTGGGACGAGGCAGGGAGGAAGACAGAGCTAATTACAGACCCCAGAGGGGGAGGACCCATCCCTCCACTTCCTTATGCCCACCCCACCCACCCCCACAGGAGTGGCAGCCCCTAACTACCATGCACGGTGGACCCCTCAGACCGGCTTCACTTCCCAGAGACTCTATTCCCCACCAGTAGCACCCTCATGCCTTTGGGCCCAGCTTAGAACACTCACTGCTCCTTTGTTATATCATTCAATTAATTATACCACCAAAAAGTGTCTGGTGTCTGACACCCTCCCCCGGACTGTGAGCTCCAAGAAATTAGGAGTCGCTGAAACTGGAGCTGCCATCTGACTCAGGATCGCTGAGGCTGGCACTTTGTCTGGGACAAAAGTGTTCCTTCTACCTTCTCCCAGGCTGCTGTGAGAATCAAACAACTTATAAGACCCCGAACAGATGGGAGGCACCAGCCTCTTTATAAAGTCCGTAACAGAGAGATGCTGTTGACTGGCTAGTGGGGGAAGCGGCTGGTAAGAATAATGGGTTGTGCTTCACCTCCCTAGGGGGCCAGAATCTGGGATCTCGCTTGGATTTAGGGACCCTGAATGGAATGGAAGCCGTGGTCACTGTGTAGGAACAGGTACTTGATTGAGAAGTAACGAATGTGTTGGAGGGATTCAGGATCCTTCCACTTCCCAGCCAAACGCAAATGGCAGAGCGATACCTCACCCAGAGATTGTCAGGTGAGAGTGGAGGGTCGTAACGGGAAGGGAACTTCATCTAGAGTTAAACCAGGAGGATCTTCTGGCTTGAAGACAGGGGAGAGGGTTGGAAGCAGTGTCTCCGGGAAGCCTGTGTGGTTTGGGACAGAAGCCTGCAGCCACTGACGCTTTTCTCCTCCCTCAGTGAAGGCAGAGGGCTTTGTGTGGCCTGGTCCTTCGGCTTTTGCCTGTACACCTATGCCCCTGTGCCCTCTGGAGCTCAGGGCAAGCAGAGTTTCCAGGGACGCAGGGACCAGTCAGTCTTCTGCTTCTGGGATGAATGCCCAAGTCAAACCCATTTCTCAGCAGGTTTTCAGGATCGATTCCTCAGCAGCGCAGTACGTGGCTGGCCCCAAAGGCTGGATGCACTGAGCGAAGGGTGGTCAGTGGGAGCTTCTAGCATCCGTAGGTCGCGCAGTGTCTTTCACTACAAGGTCTGGGATGGAGCCAGAGGCTGGCGAAGGCGGGCAACCAGGTTTAACCCTTTACTTAGGGGTCTCTGACGAAGGGTAGCGAGTTACCTATTTCTCTATTCCCCAGACAGGGGTATGGACCAGCTCTCTGGTCCAGGCTTAAAATAGGGTCTCGAATCCCTTCGCGAAGACGCCCTCCCTCCCTCCCCCCCTTTTTTGCAAATTGTTCCAGAGAGTCAGGGGTCCAGGTATCCATCCTTCCAGTCTTTAAAAATTGCCCCTGAGCCCGAGGCCCCGGTGGTGGTGGTGGTGGGGGAGGTGGATCTCTTGTCTTTGGAGGCCTCCCTAAACTCCTTTTCCAATTGGAATGGAGGACGACGAGGAAAAGGGAGGCGCGCTGGGCACTGGAACTCGGATCCAAACCGAGGGAAAGGGGCGGAGTGATCGTTCACTCATCATCGCCCTGCTAAGGGATCTCTGGGCGACGGGGGACACTCGTGGTGCTGGTCCCAGCTCGTGCCTCCCTGGGCGGGCAGGATGCGGGGGGCCGTGGGCTGTGCAATGCCTCTCACACCGCCCCCTCCCGGCTCACCCGCCAGCTGCTCGGGAAGACCGCTTTCCCGGGGTTGTCCCGCGCCCCCTCCTTCCCCTCCCGGTCTCCGCCCCTCGCGCAGAGGAGGTCCTGCCGCTTTAAGAGCCGGGTAGCGACTGACAGCAAGAAGCGCGCAGAGCCGGACTGACTGCGCCCGAGCCGCCGAGCCAGGGGCTCCCCCTGCGCGCAGGTAGGCGACCCCCGACCCCCGGGCCGGCACCCGCCTCGATGCCCTCTGCACCCAGGGGTCCTCTATCCTCTGGGTCCAGTCTCCCTGGGCCCCGGCCCCCAGGCTCGCCTCCTCCCTCTGCACCCCCTGTCCTCCCTTCCTTCTCGGGTGCCCCCTCGAGAGAGGCCAAACCCCACTGCCCATGGTCACTGGTCCAGGCCCCCGCGGAAAAGGCTCCAGCGTGACCCCGGGCACAGAGCTGGTGAGCGGGGCGGGGGCCGGGGGCCGCGCGGATTCGGGGGACCTCGGAGCCTGGCATTACGTAAGAACTGCGCTGCCAGCGCTTCTGGGGGGGGGGGTTTCCGTGGCTCCTCGGTCCCCCCTGGGAGGCTAACACCCCAATCTCAGTCTTCTCTGGGAGTAGGGTCCGGGGAAGGGGCGCGTTCCTTCTTCCTCCTCCCAGATTTTTTTTTTTTTTGGGGGGGGTAGTGGTTCGGGGTCAGGGACCAGGGTTAGAGCTTGGAGATTTGGGAGGGGATGGGTGTTAGGAACCAGGAGCCAGGGGTCAGAAAGTTAAGTCAGCTAAGGGGAGGGGAGGGGCGATTGAGGACGGGGCTGGGGACCGCCATTCAATGACCTCATCCCTAGGTCTCCCGCGGGCGCGGAGCAAAGAGCCTTCTTTGATGGCTCCAAACACGCCCCCCGACCCCCGGGTCCTAGCGCCCCGCGTGTTAGGGCTGCGGCCGCGGGGCGGGGGCGGGGGCGCTCCGGCTGTGGCTGTGCGCAGCCCGCCGGGCCCCGAGCACCCCATCCCGCAGGCCAAGTACCCCATCCCGGCCCCGAGCACCCCATCCCACAGGCTGTGCACCCTCCCCGCGACCTGTCAGCGCCTCGGTCAGACCTCCTCTCCCCGCCTCTTTGTGCCCGTTATCGATGGAGGGGTGGGTGTGAGGCTGGAGAGAACCGCTCCTTTCCCCGCGGGCCCGCACCGCCAGCCCACTGGGGGTCATGGGGATAGGCTGGAGGGAGGGGTGAGGGGGCACCCGGGTCCTGGCTTTTGGGAGCTGCGCGGTGCGGGTTCCCAGATGCCCGGGGCGGGGCGGTCCTCGGCCCGCAGCCAGGCCGGCTCGCCTGGCACTGCTGTTCTCCTGTGGGCACAGCCGGACCGCCCTCTCCGGGGCCGCGGTGGGGGTGGGGCAAGGCGAGCCGCTGCCGTGGGAACCGGCTCCTCGGGGAGAAAACCCAGGCAGGCTGGGCGAGACTTCTGGGGCCAGAATCTCCCTGCCTCTCCCCACCTCGCACCCTCCGCCCTCCTCCGTCAGCGCCAGCCGCGAGGAGGTTCCAGGTCCAGGTGGTGAGGACCTGGGATGGGGAAGGAAGAGATAGATCCCTCCTTGCTGCTGTCTAGGAACAGGGCCAGCGGGGCTGGCACTGGGGGCTCTGGCTGGCACGGCGGGCCCTGAGCATTCCTCCCAACCTGATGCCAGCCTGACAGGAGGTTGCGTTCTTCCACATCTTCGGGGGCAGGCCCGGAGGAAGGGGAGTGGTCCAGCCATCTTTGTAGTTCCTGTCATCTGAGCTCAGGTGACCAGCTCAGGCGTGGGAGAGGGATGGGAGAGGATCTTATTAAAACCAGGCAGTGGTCTCTCTGGGAAGAATCCTTCCTTTGGGAGGGAGGTGAAGCTGTGGCTCCCCTTCTCCCTGGGCACTGCCATTCAGTCCTAAAGTGGGCACTGCCAGCCACTTCCTCCCTCCGCCCCCCCACCCCTGCTTTGTTGTCATGGCAACTGGGAATTAGCGTTTTCTTCAGCAGCACAGACCCAGGAAGGCGGGAGGAAGGGTGGTGGGAGGCCTCCTCCACCCCTCCCGCCCCATTTCCCCGAAAAATGGGGAAGCCAGAACCACCTTGGGGAGGTTCTGGAATGGGAACTAGGGCTGTAAACTCTACACCTGGTTCTGCCCAAAGCCCCTGCTCTCCTGGTCCCCGCTCTGGGCTAGGAAGGGGAGAAGGGGAAGAGGAACCCAGAGAGGCCTCAGGGAGGCGAGACATCATCGTTTCGGTGAGACAGACTGACAAATGTCTACGCTGGGCTAGGCCTGAGATCCAGAGGCAAAACAAAACAGGTGCAGTTTTTACTTCATGGAGCTTATTGTCTGGACGCCCATCTTTCCTGCCTTTGACTCAAATTCTGTATTCTTACCCAACCCCTCTAAAAAAAAAAAAAAAATAGAAGACAGCCTTCTGACTTGTGTGGCTTCAGCTGTTTGGAACATGGTCCTGTATACCTAAAGGTTGCAGGTTTAATTCCCAGTGAGGGCACATACCTAGGTTGTGGGTTCAGGGCTCTCTCTCTCTCTCACCTACTCACTCTCTCACTCTCTCCCTCTTTCCTTTCCCCTATCTCTAAAATCAATAAATAAGTCCTTGGGTGAGGATTTTTTAAAAAATAGAAAGGTCAGGTGGTGGGCAGAAATGCTTAATTTTTTGTTGAGTCACAAAACCTGGGTTTTCATTGTAGCTCTCTTCATTAGCTTTGTGACCCCGGGCAAACCCATTAACCTCTCTGGTCCCCTGCCACCTCCTCCCTGAAGAACTGGGCGTGAATTGCCTGCTCCTCCCGCCTCCCAGGACTCTGGGACCATTCCCTTCACCGTGTTGGCTGGTCTTGAGTGGGAGGTCCTTCTGGATTCCTTTCTCATCCTCCTTTTCCCTCCTCTAGGAGAGACATTCTGGAACCTTTGCCGACCTCACCATGCCGGTCGCAGCCACCAACTCTGAGACTGGTAAGAAAGGGGGCGGAAGTCAGTATTAGCGGTTCAGAGGGTGCCAGGCAGGGCGGGGAGCAGCTGCCAGGCACGCCCACCGGTCCCTGTAGGAACACCACTCTCCACCCAGCCACTCCACCAGCCATTCAGGCAGCGCCGTGGCCCTCCCACACCTGCCCCAGGATAGTGCCAGATACGGAGCTTCACACACTTCCTCGGAGGGCAGGGGTATGAATGCTCTGAAGATAACGCATCCTCACTATTGCTGGAGGACTACGGCGGGGGCATGGGACCTGGCTGGTGAGGAAGTGACCCCCTAGGAGCTGGGCCTTGGAGGGCGGCTGAGGTAGAGGAGCAACCGCAGCCCCGCCCAGGAATGAGAAGTCCATGATGCGGTGCCCACCAGATTAGGGCAAGGAAATGGGCCACCCAGACCAGCGAGGAAGCCTCAGGAGCAAGCTGCTTAACCTCTCAGAGCCCATTTCCTGTTCCATAAAGAGGTTGATGGGCTGAAACCGGTTTGGCTCAGTGGATAGAGCGTAGGCCTGTGGACTGGAAGGTCCCAGTTTGATTCCAATCAAGGGCATGTACATTGGTTGCGGGCACATCCCTGTTAGGGGGTGTGCAGGAGGCAGCTGGTCGATGTTTCTCATCGACGTTTCTAGCTCTCTATCCCTCTCCCTTCCTCTCTGTGAAAAATTAATAAAATAAATATTTTAAAAAAAGAGATTGATGGGAGCCCCCAAAGCTGTGTCAGAGAAGGAGAGTTACTGTTAGGAACCGTCATAATCATTATGCTGCACTCCAAATTACTACCTCACTCACCTGTCACCTTGAGTCAGTCCCTCCCTTTTGGGACTAGGTTTCCCATCTGTAAGGTGTGGTGATGGGACCAGATCATTGGTCCTGGATCCCTTTGAGAACCTGACGACAGCCATGGCCTTCATTATGGACAAGCGCTTCTCTGCACACAATCTGTTTCCACCCTGGGATTCATGGCCCCTTCAGCGCAGGGAGGGACCATCGTGAAGTTCCCTGTGCCTGAGGCTGACGGCCCTAACAACTCTACCCTGCTCTGATCTTCTGTCTTCCTCGTGGCCCAGTGCCTCCCTCCCCTGTAGCCCTTGCTGGAGGCCTTGCAGTTGCCTCTGCAAGATGCCCCAGGCTCCTAATTGCGTTAAAATGACAGTTGCTCTCCTCTGAGAACCTGCACCGGGAAAGTAGAGACTGCCGTGAGTGGGCCAGGACCTGAACGGTGACACCGTGTCCCCAGGAGAGGCCTCTTCTTCCTGCGGGGAGGTTAGGGGGTGGGGTGTGCTGGACCAATGTCCCCAGCCTCTGCAGCCTTGGAGGCTCAGTGCCTCTTCTCCCTGTGCAGCCTGCTGGGCGCCCTAGCCCCGCCCCTCCCTGCGCTGGCATGCCTGGGCCCCACTGTAAGCTGCTTATGGGTTAATTAAGCCCGTCCCTGAGCCTGTGATTAGGGGCCTCTCAATCCGGGGCTGCCCAGTAAACCCATTAATAGTGCCTGGCAGGGGTGAGGAGGGAGGAAAAGGCCCACCAATTCAGCTTCCCTGCTGCAGGCCAGTGGATGGGGGCATGGTTGGGGTGAGTGGGGGACAGGGCAGGGAGTGAGCCCAGGGGTGTGGTTATAGGGCTTATTTCCTCTGAGGACTCCTTGGGCCTCCCCGCTTCCCTGGGCTGCTCCTGCCTTCCCAAACCTAAAGAAGAGCAGGAGTCAGCTGCTTAACCCCTCGAAGCCCATGTTTCATCCTCTGTAAAAAGGTGATGTGGGACTTAAAGGCCATGAGTCTCTCAGCCCTTCCTGCAGGCAGCCTCTGTGCCCAGGACTAGCTTCTGCCCTAAAAGATCTAATGGTGGGTTCTGCCTCTTCATTACACTTCCCACAGGCCTGACAGACAACTGTGTCCCTGCCTCTGAGGTCAGGTGTTTTTTTCTCTTCTAATATATTTTATTAATTTTTTACAGAGAGAAAGGGAGAGGGATAGAGAGAAACATTGATGAGAGAGAAACATCCATCAGCTGCCTCCTGCACACCCTCTACTGGGGATGTGCCCACAACCAAGGCACATGCCCTTGACCACAATCGAACCTGGGACCCTTCAGTCCATAGGCTGACACTCCACCCACTGAGCCAAACTGGCTAGGGCTGAGGTCAGGTTTACCCTCTCACTAGCTTCTTCCTTTCAGGAGAGATCCCAGCCTTGGGCTCTGCAGAGGGTGAGGCTAGCAAGGTCCTTCTCCCACCCCTCCCCTTGGGTCAAGATGGTCATCGTCATCGTCATTGTACATGGAATGGGTGCCTTCCTCTTGCAGAGAGACCCCCACCTCTACTTCTCGGAAGGTGGAGGCCCTTCCCCGGAGGGCTAGGGGTGGGTTGGGCGATATGGAGGTGAGAGCATGGGCTGAGAGTTGAGAGAACTTGTCCCTGGAGTCTCCAGACTGGCAGCCTTCTCCTTTCTTTTCCCTTTTCCCGATTCCTTTCTTTCTTGGACTCCAGAGGGGATGTAGGCTGAATTCAGATGCGGCTGTCCCTTTAAATCTGTCTTGCATCCCAGGGTTAACCTCCTGGTGTGTAAGCCCTCCCATTGCCATGGCAACCAGGGGTGCAATGCAAGCTGCTGCCACTCCTCGGGGAATGGAGATCTGGTGGCAGGAGCCGCACCTGGTGGCGGCCTCATGGGTACAGGGTTTGAGAGTAATGGAAGCGCTGGGCTGGGGTCAATGCCAACTCCCTCCCTTCTACCGCCTTTGTCCCTGCTGCAAGAGTGCTCCCTCACCTTTCCCCTTCCCCAGTTCCGAGATGCCTGAGTTGGCCACCAGGCAGTCACCTCTTACTCAAGGGGAGGAATTAATGGGAGATGGGGGGCCCGGAGAAGCTACAGCTGAGATGTGGGGTCAGAGGGCTTACGGTACCCTTCCCAGCCACAGTGGTGCCACCTCTCACCCCCCTCCTTTTTCTCCCAGTCACCCCCTCACCCCCTCACCCCCAATGGCTGGGTAAGGCGGAGGACTGAGTCGTTGGGGGTGGGGGAGGCGCTTCCTTTGATTCGGAAGGGGTTACTATTGTAAAGGAGACGGCCTGGAGAGGGGACACAGAGTAGAGGTCGGAGGGCAGGGGGAGGAGGTGGCCTGGGTGTGTATTGGAGGACAGATCTTCAGAAGCGAGGGCGGGAACAAGGTGGGGCCAAGTCCCCACCCCCCCTTGGGTTTCCTGCAGCTGGGCAGCGAGGGGAGGGTCTCTGAGAGCCGCCCCATGTCTGAAGGGGCAGCGCCCCCTCTCCTCTCTCCCAGCCGCCGGCTCCCCCCCACTCCCTCCACTGGCCGGTGCTGAGCCGGGGGGCGTCCAGCCAGCAGCGGGACTGGGACTCTCTTTGCCCTCGCCTTTGACCAATCAGCAAGGCGGTCAGGATGGATGCGCCTTTCTATTGGCTGAGCCTGCAGAAGGCGCTCCCCGAGTCCCGCCTCCTCCAGCGCCGCCAGCCTATGGCCGGGAAGGCGGCCGCAGCCGGTGCAGGCTGCTCTTGGGTCCGGAGCTGGGGTGGGGGCCGCTATGGCGGGCAGTCCCGGCAGCGGGGCCTCCCTGGAGGTCATATCCCTGGGGTCCTCTGAGGAAGCCGACCTCCGAAGGAAAGGTAGGAAGGAGGGTCTCGAGGCCGAGGGGAAAGCTGGCCCTACAGGGTTTGCGGGCATCTGGAGAGGGTGTCCCAGGTACGGGCTTCCGGGAGCCTCAGGGTCTGGCGGCACCGCCCCTCCGGAGAGCTGGGCTGGGCAGAGGGCGCCAACTCCCTGGCTCAGTCCTTCCTCGGGGTTGGCAGGCTGGGGAGTCTGTGGGTGAGGATAGCTGTGGCGGGTGGACCCCGGGGGTGCCCCATCTTTCTGAGCCCACTAGGCGTCTTGCAGGTCTCAGGATGTTGTTTCTGGAAAAGGTGGGGTGAGGGAGGGGGAAGAGGATGGGAGTCCAGGAGCCCCTGAACCATGTCTGCCCGCTCCAGTTGCAGCGCCTCCTCCTCCTCCCCATCCCCATTCCTTCCTGGAGGAGGAGGCATTGACAAGAGCAGTAAGAGGGACTGTATCCACCCTTCCTCCTCCACGGCTTGGGAGCTGTTATGCGGATGTAGGTGTGGGTGGCAGGGTGGCAGATTAATGATACCCCCTGCCCATCTCTGGCCCCCAGCTGGGCACACTCTGCTTCTCCCTTCCTCCCCCAGGACCTGCCACCGCTGGCAGCTCCCTCCTCTGCTGGTGGGTGACGGCAGCACCTACCTCAGTCCTCAGCGACTGCTGGGGCCCAGCATCAGGTGTTCGCATGTCCTTGGCTGTGTCCTTCCCAGGCTGAGGGTTTGCTGACCCCGGGGATGACTTAGTCTGACTTCTGCCCTTGGGTGCCCACAACCACCCCAGGCCTGTTTTCCCACCTCCTGCCAATGTTCTGGGCCTCGGCTTTGGCTTCCTAGGCTCTATATTAATTTCTGGATGATTATAGATCACTGGAGGCCCAGTGAACACAATTCATGGGTAGGGTCCCTAGAGGCAGCCGGCCAGGGGCCTTCCTTCATTCCATGCCACTCCCTGGTGCTCAGCCCACGTCATATAGCGAGCGATCGAACTCCCGGTTGGTCGAACTCCTGAGGGGACACTTTGCATATTAGGCATATATATATATATATATATATATATATATATATAATCAAAGCTGAAGGGCTTATAGACACCATCTAACCCCACCCACCCGTTCTATAGGAGGGAAAGACTGAGATCAGTGGGAAACAGTGAGTTATGCAGCATCACACTGAATTAGTGGCAGGGCTTGCACTAGATAACGGGTGGGCCCTGGCTTCCTGCACGGCTGCCTGATCTCAGGAACAAGATCTAAGCACTGTCTCTCCCTCCGGAGCCCTTCAGTGGCTGAGTCCCGGGGCTTCAGCCCATTCGGAGTTTGAGTGCGGAGCCTGTGGTTCTCTGCTGCGGGGCAGAACCTGGAACCTGACGCCTGCTGCCCTTTCCCCGCTCCTCCCACATCGGAGTGGAGTCTACTTCCTCCTGCCTGGGGCCTCCCACCTGCCCAGGCTGGCATTACCCGGACCGCAGAACAGGCCAAGGCCACGCCCCCCTAGCGCCCCACCCCGCATTCCCGGGCCTGGCAGGGAGGGAAGTGCTGCCTTCCTGGGAGGGGCTGTCTTCCGTGGGGCGGGAGGTTGGGTTGTTGCCGCGTGTTTTGGTCTCTTGTGCCTCGCTGGCACCCGTGTGTCTCACTGCCTCCCCCTCCCCCCGCAGCCATGCAGCAAGTCCTGGACAACTTGGGATCCCTCCCCAACACCACGGGGGCCGCAGAACTGGACCTGATCTTCCTCCGAGGCATTATGGAAAGCCCCATAGTAAGATCGCTGGCCAAGGTATAGTGCTCCAGGAGGCAGGTACACGGGTACCGGGTCTGGGTGGGGGAGGGTACGGCGGGGGATGGGATGTTAGACATACGGGGCCCTGGGAATGGGGCACGTGGCACAAGAGGCCCCTGGAGGGGGGTGTACAGGACCATCCATGCCCAGATGATATCTGAGTGACTGCAGAAAGGGGAGCTGTGCCGGGCCTGGCCGGTGAGCATGGGGCATGCCCATGTGGGAGCTGTTAGGTGTCTGCCAGCTTGTGGAACTATGGCGGAGGTCGGGGGCGGGCGGGGAGCATGCCTGTGTGGAATCTCCAAGAGGTCATCCTGCCTGTGTCCCTGTCATTGGGCATTTTGTGCAGACATTTTCCGTGGTCACCTGCCATGCCTCAGGCGGGTAAAAGACTCACTAACCGGGGGAGTTACTAAACAACTGGGTCATAGCGGTGACGGGCAGGTGCAGTAGGCACTTTGGAGCATAAAGGGCAAATGCCTGCCTCAGCCCGGGGTGGGCAGGGAAGGCTTCCTGGAGGAAGGGCCACTGGAGCTGCGTCTGGAAGAATGAGGAGGGAGGGAGGGTATCCTGGGCCTTGGGAAGAGCTTAAGCTGAAACAGAGGTGAGAAGAGTGGGGAGTGAGTACACAGAGGACTGGTGTGAGGCTGGAGGTTCAGGTGGGAGAGGGGTGTGAGCTTCGGAGATGCTGGCCGGTGGTGGAGGGCACGGGCTGGGGCTGTGCCGGATGCTTGGACGTTGCCCTGTGATGTCCTGTGAGTAACATGGATGGAGTCTTTCATGTTTTAAGCCGGGGGGTGGGGGGGGTGGGAGGGGCTGATGATGGGATTTGGACATTTTAGGAGATCCCTCTGGCAGCCACATGGAGTTGGAGAGACTGAGGTGGGAGGATGGCTCTGAACCAGACCTCTGGTAACAGGGCGTGAGGGAGGGGAGGGTGAGATATTTAGGAATAAATTGGCAGTATTGGTGTTGGCTATGGAAGGTGTGGGGTGGAGGGTAGCAAGGCACCCTGGATTCTGAGAGGGCAAGTGTGGGGCTGGGGCTGCCTTCGACAGAGCAGCGGCATGGGTGAGGGGAGGGGCAGCTGAAGAAGGAGCCCTCTCCTGAGGAGGAGGAGGGGAGGCGAGAACGGTCCAGTGCTGTGTTGGGGCGAAGCTGGGAGTTGCAGGGAATCCTGTGCGATTGCTCAGACTTTCCAGCGGAGGTGGGCCTGTCGTCTGCTGGGAATTTGGGATCAGGGATCGGGCAGGAAAATAGGAGGAATTTGGAAGTAAAGGTTCAACTAATCACTAAAGGGGTTAGAGTGGGAACTCATCAAAGCCGGGGAGCAGGACTGACTTGAGGTTAATGATGTCATAATCCTGAATTCATAGCTTGCCTATATAGCTATTTAGATGTAAATTCCCCTTTATATGTGTTTTTATTTTATTTTATTTTTTGATGTTTTTCTTAATCCTCACTTGAGGATACCTTTTTCGTTGCTTTTCAAAGAGAGTGGAAGGCAGGGAGAGAAGGGGAGGGGAAGAGAAAGGGTGAGAGAGACTCATCAAATAGCTTTGACAGTGAGACTGCCGATGAATTAAGGCGAGTCCCTCAGTGTGACAGAATCTCAGGGTTAGAATCTCAGGGACTCTAGCCAGTCCCCTCCAAAGCATGACCCTGCTCAGTCCCATTCTTCTCCGGGGCTTTGTCTCATCTGTTTGACAGCTCTCCAGTGATGGGCTTGTTGGCTGGCTGGCCCTGTCATCCTTCAGTCACTCAATCGTCCATCATCTATTCAACAAATACGATCGATTGTGTGCTCACCATGTACCAGGGCTATGGCAGTGAACACTCAGCATGTTCTTCTCCTGATAGAGCCCAAGTCTGTCATCTCCTCCTGGGACCTCCCAGTGCAGCCTGATGGAGAGGTTGCCCATGTGCCAGATCAGGCTGTAAATAAACCCCCTTCTTTTGCCTGAGCTCAGGAAAATCCTTCCCATCTCCTGCAGTGTGGCCCTGTGCAATGCAACTTCTCCACTTCTCCCAGCAAAGGGCTGTCTCTACTCTTCAATCCGGGCTTGACCATGTGACTTCCTTTGGATAACGGGACCTCCTCCTCCTCCTCCTCCTCCTCCTTCTTCTTTTAATATATATTTTTATTGATTTTTTACAGAGAGGAAGGGAGAGGGATAGAGAGTTAGAAACATCAATCAGCTGCCTCCTGCACACATCCTACTGGGAATGTGCCTGCAACCATGGTACATGCCCTTGACCGGAATCAAACCTGGGACCTTTCAGTTCACAGGCCGACGTTCTATCCACTGAGCCAACCCGGTTAGGGTGGGACCTATTTTTACTCCTTGTTACCGATAGTAATTATTCTGTATGTAGCAGTACATTTCTAATCTAATAGACAAAGTACTTTTATCAAAGATCCAGCTGTAAAAGCTTGGTTCTCCTGCCCTGGCCAGTTTGGCTCAGTGGATAGAGCGTCAGCCTACTGAGTCAGGGGTCCCAGGTTCGATTCTGGTCAAGGGCATGTACCTTGGTTGAAGGCATATACCTAGTAGGTAGTGTGCAGGAGGCAGCTGATCGATGTTTCTCTCTCATCGATGTTTCTAACTCTCTATCCTTCTCCCTTCCTCTCTGTAAAAAAATCAATACAATATATTTTTTAAAAATAGCTTGGCTCTGGCAAAGTGGCCCAGAAACCCTTTGGAATGGAGTCGAGTGGAATTGCATGTGGTGGCTATTGACCTTTTTATCTTACCCTTGTGGACTTGGGCTTGACTTTTCTCTCTGGGGATGCAGAGAGTGTGGGAGAGGCCAGGCTGGGACCAGGGATTAGTTAGAGCTGGGACCAGGGAGGGGCAGGGCCTGAGGGACAAATCCAGAGAGGTAAAGGTTCTGGAGGGAAGTCAAACCTGGCAGAAAGGTGATAAATCGGGAGGCTTGGCTGCAGACAGCAGGTGGCTGGCAGGTGGCTGGCACCTGGGAGGGCTGACATGGGGCCAGCAGCAGGTGTTTCCACAGCAGGCAAGGCTAAGGTGAAGAGTCCAATGTGGGCGACACTCAGTTACCAGGAGGGGCGCCTGCGAGCTGGGAGGCCACCCCAGGAGGTGAAGGAAAAAGAACAGAGTTTGGAGTGGGAAGATTTGCTGGTTGGCTATGACGTTAATATACCTGACAACGTCTCTGAGCTCCAGTTATTTGTTCTGAAAAGTGAGGATAATGATGCTGACCTGTCAGAGGCATGGTGGGGGAGGTCATGGATGTGGAGGTGCTTTTTAAATCATGAAGAGTTGTTATAATGTAGACTTAGCCGGAATTCACAGGGAGGACCCTACTCCTGTGGTCAGGCCAGGCTGAAAGAGATGGCAAAGCAAGACATGGCCCTAGAAGAATGAGGGTCCACGGGGGTCACTGACCAGCAGACACAGCAAGCAGAGGCTACTGTGGCGAGGAGCCTCGTGTATCAGTTAGCCTTTGCCGCGTAACAAATAGCCCCAATGCATAGTGCCCTGTTTCTCATGATTGTGTGCATCAGCTGGTGGCTTTTCTGGTATGGGCTTGCTGAGTTGGGGTTGGGTGCTCTAAGATGGCCTCAATGTCTGCCTGGTCAGCTGGGAAGGCTGTGGCAGCTGGGATGGCAAGGCCTCCCATCCTCTGGGAGGGTGGCCCCGGTTTCTTCATATGGTGGACTCAGCAGCAAACGAGGACAAGCTTCAAATCCCAAGCACTCTGCAAGCTTCTGCTCATATCACATTTGCTAACGTCCCATTGGCCAAAGCAAATCACATGGTCACATCCAGCTTGAAGAGTGAGTGATGTTTCTTTCTGGCACCCCAGTCTCTGGGACTTCTTTCAGTTATTGAACTCTTAATTATGACCCTAAGGGTCTTCTGCCAACATCAGAGAGGTTGATTGGAGTGGGAGAGAGGACGGAATAACTTTCAAAGAATCGGCAGTTGGCTTATGGTTCTGGGGCAGGAGCTGGCATCTCTGGGTTCCAGTGCAGGCTCTATCGTTAGCACTCTGGTGACAATCTTCGGAAAGTCTCTCAGCCAGTGCCTGAGGGAGGACAAAGCAGCCCAAGCCTCATAAAGGGGAGTTTGTCAGGACCACGTGTGTACTTACTGCTTGACCCAGCAAGGCGGCTAGGCATTTACACGGAAGAGCTTCTCCAGAGTTAGAACAGCTATGCCAGCCTTAGTCACTGTAGCTTTGTCATAGAGGCCTGGAGCATGACATTCATGCACTGGGAGGAGGAGGAGGGTTCTCTTAGCCTGGCCGGTGCCCTCTCGCAGTCGGGAACCCCTCGGAGGATGTCTGACTGCCCGCTTAGGCCTGCTCCCCCAGGGGAGTGCCGCTCAGCCAGGCGCTGGGCTCGCTGCTCCTTAGTGCTGCCTCAGGTGGGAGAGGCTCCTGCCACCACCGCTGCACTCGCCAGCCCCGAGCCCTGCTTCTGGCTGAGTAGTACTCCCCCTGTGGGGGGTACTGACCACCATGGGGCAGCTCCTGAGTCAAGCGTCTGCCCCCTAGTGGTCAGTGTGCATCATAGTGGCTGGTCATTCCACCATTCTGTCCATTTGCATATTAGCCTTTTATTACCGTGTTTCCCCGAAAATAAGACATCCACTGAAAATAAGACCTACTTACAGGTTTCCTCCTGAGTAAAATATAAGGCATCCCCCCGAAAATAAGGCCCCCCCTAGGCTAAACATAAGAGATTTGGTCCACTGATTCTGAAAGAAATGGAGTCTCCAGAAATTCACCAGGAAATTCAGGAATTGGATTGTTATGATGATGTTCCAGAAGATGATGACATGATTGTCATTGAATAAATGAGTAAATTCTCGATACTGTAGGATTCACAGTTTGTCTGGTTTGTGTTGACAACTTCCGTACTACCGTAAGGTATACAGGTAATAAATTTCCTTTATTTTCATTTAACAATTAATGTGTACCGTATTCTTCTTCATGGAAAAATAAGACATCCCCTGAAAATAAGCCCTAGAGCATCTTTGGGAGCAAAAATTAATATAAGACACTGTCTTATTTTTGGGGAAACAGGGTATGTAGCAGCAGTTGCCAACCTTTTGGACCTCACAGACCAGTGGTGGCTCGTGGGCCACTGGTGGTGACCGCTGTTATATAGAACAGTAAAACATTGGAACAACCCAAATACCTGGGGAGCTGATTGTATAAATTACGATACTCCAAACATACAATAAGTAAGTGAAGTAATTAAAAAAATAATAATAATAATGGAAAATCTCCACATAGAGTGATTTCCAGAGCATATTAAGTTAAAAACACAAACCAAACCAACTGAACAAAACCCCCAAGGGATCAAAGAGTGTCTATAGTGTTCTACCTTGTATGTAAGGGTCTAAAGTCAGGATTTGGGGATGAGGAGAGGCCTGGGGAGTCGGTTTGGGACCCGGGTTCTTGGGGAAGCATCAGTCTGACCTGTTCCACCGTCACGCCCAGGCCCACGAGAGGCTGGAGGAGACGAAGCTGGAGGCCGTTCGGGACAACAACCTGGAGCTGGTGCAGGAGATCCTGCGGGACCTGGCGCAGCTGGCGGAGCAGAGCAGCACAGCCGCCGAGCTGGCCCGCATCCTCCAGGAGCCGCACTTCCAGGTCCCCTCCCGCGCGGCGGGGGTGCGGCTGGGGGGGCCATGGCGGGGGGGGGGGGGAGGCGCCGGCAGGGAGCGGGAGGTGGGACGGGAAGGGGCTGCAGGGCCCTGGCCCATGGTCCCGTCTCTCCCCACCACCTCCCCAGTCCCTCCTGGAGACCCACGACTCTGTTGCCTCAAAGACCTATGAGACGCCGCCCCCCAGTCCCGGCCTGGACCCCACGTTCAGCAACCAGCCGGTGCCCCCCGACGCTGTGCGCATGGTGGGCATCCGCAAGACCGCTGGAGAGCACCTGGTGAGGGAGCCGGGCGGGGCCCGCTGTGGGTCCGGGTGGGGGCACTGAGAGCACCAGCAGGGGTCCAGCCCAGCCTGGAGAGGGCTGAAATGAGGCAGCATCAGCTCTGCCCAAGGACCTGCCCACGCAGACCCAGGGGGTCGCAGACTGCATGTGGGCTGCATACGTACATGTGCCAGACCCCTCTTCGTTCTGCCCCGTTAGGGCTCCTGTAAGGGAAGCGTTTGGGCGGAGGATGGAAGAGGAGTCTGTGAGGGTGATGTGGGAGGGCGGGGATGGAAATGGGGGTCCTGGACATCTAAGCGGGGGTCCTGGAATCTTCTAGTCTCCATCAGGAGATTCTGACATGGGCAGTTGGGGCTCATCACACCCACGCTCCGTCCCTCAGGGCGTGACATTCCGCGTGGAGGGGGGCGAGCTGGTGATCGCACGCATCCTGCACGGGGGCATGGTGGCCCAGCAAGGCCTGCTGCACGTGGGCGACATCATCAAGGAGGTGAACGGGCAGCCGGTGGGCAGCGACCCCCGGGCGCTGCAGGAGCTCCTGCGCAGCGCCAGCGGCAGCGTCATCCTCAAGATCCTGCCCAGCTACCAGGAGCCCCACCTGCCCCGCCAGGTGAGCCCCTCCACCGAGGTGCCGTCCAGCGCGAGGCCCCAAGGGGAGCCGAACCTCCCTATCAGGTCACAGGCCTTGGGGGGGGGGACAACGCTGCAAGCTAGGGGGCGTGATCTGCGGCTGGGGAGGCCAGCGACCCAGACACCCACAGGCACCTGCCCTCGTCTTGGGTGCTCACGTGCACGTGCGAGGGGTGTGCGTGCATTCAAGGCCCGCGGTGCCCAAGTGTACAAGTGCGTGCCCGGTGTGCAGCTGTCTGCGTGCCCGTGTGTCCGTGTGGGCACGCAGAGTCGGGCTGCCAGGTGCCCTATCCCGCCGCCTCTCTGTGGGTGGGTTGTGGAGGTCTGGCTGCTTTGCCCGCTTCCCCTGTTGGCCCTGTAGCGGCCTGCCACAGCCCCTGCCTCCCAGGGGCAGAGGTGAGAGGATGGAGGGATCCTGCCTCCTCCTCCTCCTCGGAAGGTGGGGCCCGGGCCCCAGGCCCAAGCGGATCTCCCATCCTTCTGATTGAGGCCTTTTGTTCTCCACGACAACGCAGAGGGAGGCTGGTACCAGGGAGGCAGGCCAGGCGGGCCTGGGGGCCTCACGCCTTTGTTAAAGGGGCAGTACCAGGGCCTCTCTCATCTGTGTGAGGGAAGCGGGGGAAGAGGGTGGACTCTTGGACCCCTCCCATCCCCCATGAGAGGTTGGGGACGGTGGGGGGGGGGATGGGCGAGGGCCCATCCCCTCCAGCCTCCCTGCTTCTTCCCCTGACCCCTCCCTGACCCGGGCCAGGTGTTCGTGAAATGCCACTTCGACTACGACCCCGCCCACGACAGCCTCATCCCCTGCAAGGAGGCCGGCCTGCGCTTCAGGGCCGGGGACCTGCTCCAGATCGTCAACCAGGACGACGCCAACTGGTGGCAGGCGAGCCTCGGGTGCCCGCGCGGCCTCTCCGGGTGTGGTGAGGGGGTCGGGGAGGGTGTGGGAGGTGCCCCCTCACCCAGGCAGCGCCGTGCCCCTGTCCGTTGTAGGCCTGCCACGTGGAAGGAGGCAGCGCCGGGCTCATCCCCAGCCAGCTGCTGGAGGAGAAGCGCAAAGCCTTCGTCAAACGGGATCTGGAGCTGACGCCCAACTCAGGTATTAGCCCCTGGTCCTCCTCTGGGACCTGCCTGCACCCCGGCCCGGCCTCACTCACCCCTCTCTCTGCGGCCAGGGACCCTCTGCGGCAGCCTTTCAGGGAAGAAAAAGAAACGAATGATGTATCTGACCACCAAGAATGCAGGTGGGTATTGTGGGCGCCCTCCCCCGTCCTCCTCGCACATGGCACCTCCCCTTTCTGCCCCCTCCTATGCCTTGTGGGTACGCTCCCCTGGCTCTGACGCTGCCAGGCCTGTCCCTCGACCCTGCCCAGTTCCTTCCTGCTGCCCCTGGCCCCTGAGAGCCCCTCCCCGCCCTCTCTGCCCGGTGAGCAGCGCCACCTCCCTGTGCGCAGAGTTTGACCGCCACGAGCTGCTCATCTACGAGGAGGTGGCCCGCATGCCGCCTTTCCGCCGGAAAACCCTGGTGCTGATCGGGGCTCAGGGCGTGGGGCGGCGCAGCCTCAAGAACAAGCTCATCATGTGGGACCCGGACCGCTACGGCACCACGGTGCCCTGTGAGTGGGAGCGGGGCCTGCTGGCTGGGGGTCGGAAGTGGGAGTGCACCCCCGAGGCCAGGACGGGCGCGCGGAATGGGCAAATGCATGGGCACCACGTTGAGTAGCGCTTTGGGTGTGAGGTGTGGAGCGCGCGCCCTCTAGGGGCAGGTGGGGGAACTGCAGGCTGGGGTGTTTGGGGGAGCTGTCCCTTGGGCCTGTGGCCAGATGGGCTGGACTAGCCTTGCCTTTTCTCACGTTTCACTTGCTAACAGCCCAGCGGGGCCCTGATGTGAAACGGGGACATGAGCCGTGCGTGGCCTCATGGAAGGCGGGGCCTCCCGGTGACAGAATCAGTTGGGGTGAAAGCTCCTGCTTTTGGGGGGGGCAAGAGCCTGGCCAGCTGGCCTTGCTTTACGGTTCCACATGGTCTTCTCGGGGCCTCTGCTCCCCCGCTGTGAGCCCCGGGCTGGCTTCTCTCAATATGGATGTCTAAAGAGTCTGTGTGTGTGTGTGTGTGTGTGTGTGCGCCAGCGGCGAGGGCGAGGGAGGGCGCGGTGTGTGGGAGGCAGCAGCACACGCGTGTGCGTGTCTGAGGCGGTGCCTGCTCGGTCCCGCCTCCCTGCAGACACATCCAGGCGACCCAAAGACTCTGAGCGGGAAGGCCAGGGCTACAGCTTTGTGTCCCGCGCGGAGATGGAGGCTGACATCCGTGCCGGGCGCTACCTGGAACACGGCGAGTACGAGGGCAACCTGTACGGCACGCGGATCGACTCCATCCGGGGCGTAGTGGCCGCCGGCAAGGTGTGCGTGCTGGACGTCAACCCCCAGGTACGGCTGGCCTGCTTTTCCCCCCCGTCTGCCCAGGATCCCCCCTGGGGACTCTGATTCCCCCGCGCCCCTCCCTGTATTCCCGGCACTTATCTCCCAAGCCCCCCTCAACTGCTGCTAGGGACCAAGCCCCCTTACCCGCTCTCTCTCGGCCTCCAAGCTTCCCTACTCCTCTGTCTCCTCAGTTACCCCTTCCCCAGCTGCTGGTCCTCTAACATGCTCCTCCAGGACTGATGTCTCACTCATTCCCAGGGACCCGTCTCCAGCCCCACCACCCCCCAGGTTCCCTTCTCTCTGCAGGCGGTGAAGGTGCTGAGAACAGCCGAGTTTGTCCCTTACGTCGTGTTCATCGAGGCCCCCGACTACGAGACCCTTCGGGCCATGAACCGGGCCGCTCTGGAGAGTGGGGTGTCTACCAAGCAGCTCACGGTGAGGGGCCCTGAGCTGCAGGGGGAGGGGGCAGGCCAGAGCTGATGAGGAGAAGGGGTGTGGAGGACGGTGAAGGAGGACGCGACGTTCCCACCTCACAGTGTGGAGCGGAAGTCTGAGCGAGTGGGGAAGGAAGTGCCTGGATTCCCGTGGAGTCAGGGGCACAGCTAGCCAGAGGCGCAGGAGCTCCTGCCAGGCTCCCTGCTCCACCCACGCTGTGGGGACAGTGCTGACCAAAGGGGGCCCCGAGGGCCGGTGGGATTCTGTGGGCAGAAGCAGGGGGATTCTGGGAAAGGCTGACGGGAGGGAGGAAAACAGGCTGGAGGGCTGCTAGGGGGATGAGTTAGCCTTGGGGAGGCGGCAGTGCTGGGAGGAGAGGCTTCAAATCAGGTATTGCAGGCTCCAGGGCACCCCCTCCCCCTCTTCGCCCCACCTCTCATGGAGCATCCCGTTCCCCAAGAGGGATAGGGTTTGTAGAACTCCTTGCGCAGGAGTCCCTCTGCTGGCCATACCTGGTACTGCCGCTCTCAGGGTCCCCATCAGCATTGCTCAGGCCTTGGAGAGGCAGTTTGGGCTGGGCTTCTCTCTGCTGCCTGCCACCCTGGCCACAAACACCGAAGACTGGTGCTGCTGGGACATGCTGGGCCAGCCCCAGCGCTCCCATCTCCGCTATTTAAGGCAGCGTTCAAGTCCCTTCTCACCCCCGCCCCTGCCTGACCAGCTTGGGCTGGGTCTGGGGTGGGGGTTGCACCAGTACCAGGTCTGACAAGTGCCTCTCGGGCTGCCTGATCAGACTGGAGGCAGCATTGGCTTTGGAGTCAGGCAGGCTCTGTGGAGCCACTGGCTGCTGACTGTGTGAACTCTTGGCGCCTCCGTTTTCTCCGTTGTAAATGGGGACTGATGAGCCCTGCCTTTGGGGGGCAAGAGCCAGGAGTGGAAATTCTGCGAGTTGCAGAGATGTTAGTGCCATGTTTGGCTCTTACTAGGGGCTATTTCCTTTCTCCCTTTTACCTGTCTGTCTGTCCCTGGTTGCAGGAGAGCACCTTGGGACACGTAGGGAGGGGCTCCTGGCCAGGGAGTCTGCACCCACCACGGCTGGCCTCTGGGGCGGGGTCTCCATGGGGCAGGCAGGCTGTAGATGGGGGACGATGGGGGAGAGCGGGGGACACTGACCAGCGGGGGACTCCCCCTGTGTTGGCAGGAGGCGGACCTGAGGCGGACCGTGGAGGAGAGCAGCCGCATCCAGAGGGGCTACGGGCACTACTTCGACCTCAGCCTGGTCAACTGCAACCTGGAGAGGACCTTCCGCGAGCTGCAGGCCGCCATGGAGAAGCTGCGGACGGAGCCCCAGTGGGTGCCCGTCAGCTGGGTGTACTGAGCCTGCCAGGCTGGACCTTGTCCCCTCCGGGCTGCGACCCAGACACCCGGACCCATCCCCTCCCCAACCATGCCCCTCAGCCACGGTCCTTCGCTCCGGCCCCCGGATCTGGCTCCCGGGGAGCGGCTCCTCGCAGGCCCCGAGTCTGGCTTCGGCACGGAGGCACGCACTGCCAGGGAGGTGGGTGTTCGTGGGGCACCTCTGTGCCCAGGTGCTGCCCCCTCCTGATGCCCATTGGCCGCCAGATGTTCCTCCTGGAGGGCCACACGGTGCCCGGGACTGAGTCAGAGTCACCTTCCGGGGCTCAGACCAGAGGTGGGGAGAGCTGCTTAGGGACCACGTGGTCAGGAGGTGCACGGCCCCTGCCACTGCTCTGCAGTCAGCTTCTCTCCTCTGGACTGGCCACCTCACCCTTCTCCCGAGCTCCCCCCCTATCCCTCTGTCCTAGGAGCAGGCCTTAGGTTTTTCCCCTGTGGCCAGGGGAGGGGAAGCCCCCCCGGGACAGCCAGGCGGGCCTGGGCAGTGGGGCCACCCTGGTGCCATCCCGAAGGCTGCAGGAGCCAAAGCAGGAGCCAGGTGTCACCGCTGGGAGCAGTGTGGTTCTCCGCTCCCTGGAACGAGGCAGAGGCCCCTGCACGGACACTGCCCTGTAGTTCCTCGTCCACAGCTTTTCACTGCCGAAGTCTCTCCGCAGACTTCCCCCATGCGCCCGGCAGGCCGGCAGGGCAGCGCTGCCCTCGGCAGGGCCAGGCCGGCAGGGGCAGCAGGCTCTGCCCAGGTCAGGGGGCGTGGGAGGCCGAGCCCTGACCCTAGGAGCCTGCTGCTACTGACCGAAGAGCTCCATGCTGCCCGTGGCCCGTGGTGGACACTGGGGCTCCCTGTTCCCGACCATTGTCCATCGGGGTCTTGGCTCTGGCCAGGCCCTCGTGTCAGGACTGATGGGGGGCTCAGGGAGGATGCGGAGGGGAGCTGTGAGCCCTGGGCCGTGAGTATTGTGTTCTGACCGGCTCCTCACCGCCCAGTGCCAGGGGCTGGCGTCCAGACTGTTTCTGTGAGGTGTCCGTCCACATGCGACACACCTGGTCTGGGTTTCCGCCCCCGGCACGTGTGTGTCGGGCTTGGCTTTTGGAGGTCACTCCTTGGGGCCCCGTTTCAGGGTTTCCCATCAGCTCCCATGTCTTAGGAGACACCTACCCTAGATTCTAGAACCTACCCGCCCGGATGTCTTCCTCTAGCTCTTTTATTGTCCCCTGACCCTGAATGCCACTCTCCTGTTCTTGGTGAGGGCAATTGTGTAAAATAGGAGACTTCCTCCCCCCCCCCTTTTTTTTTTAGAGAAAGGAAGGGAGAGAGAGCGAGAGCGAGAGCGAGAGCGAGAGAGAGAGAGAGAGAGAGAGAGAGAGAGAGAAGCATCGATTGGTCGTCTTCCCATGTGCCGCAACTGGTGAGTGAACCGGCAACCTGGGTGTGTGCCCTGACCGGGAATCGAACCCACACCTTTTGGTGTACGAGTCGATGCTCCAGCCAACTGAGTCATACTAGCCAAGGTGAGAATGCCTTTTGAGAAAAGAATGCTGTCCTCAACTTCCCCAGGCATCTCATCCCTCATCCTTCTCTGCGGTCCTTCCTGGGGTGAGCCTGTCCTTGCCCGGGGACCCCCCCAACCCCCCGTGCTCCCCGCTCCTTCTGAATGTCAGTCAGTGTTCGCTGCAGCGTCAGCCCGAGCTGGCCCCTGAACCACTGTGTGCCCGTTTCCTGGGGAAGGGGAGGGAGAAGAAACAGAATATTTATTACAAAGTTAGAAATATATTTATTACATTAGGGATCTCATTGCATTTGCATAAGGTGTGCAAATGAGATGCTGAGGTCAAGCCTGCTCCCATCTCATTTGCATAGCTCTGCATCCACTATGCAGTCATCTTTATACTCCTCTTTTCCCTTTCGTCAGCCTTCTTTTTATCCTGAATTCAACTCTTCCATCTCCCTCCCCCTCAGCCCAGGGGGACTGGGAGTGAGAGGGAAATGGGGTGTCCTTTGCCAGGTCCTTGGTTAACCTCTGACCAAAAGATGGGGTCAGGAGAGCTGGGCGCATTGCTGGGGAGTTGGCAGGTGGCACGTTGGGGCGACTCTCCAGTGTTGATGCTCTCCAGCACCCTCACCTCTAGTGACTCCCGGGGGCAGGGCTCGGCCCCTCTCCTGTCCGTCCCTCTCCGAACAGCGTGCTACCTCCCTGTGTAAGCCCCACTCCCTGGAGCAGGTGTGCGCCCACCTAGTTTGCTCTGACTCCATCCTCCCTCCTCTCCCGTGGACGCTTGTATCTGAGGGACCTCAGGATCATGAGGCCCTGCCCCCACAGTCCACACTAAGTCTGAACCCATTTACCCCCTCCCCCCAACCCCCGCTCCCTCAGCCCCCAGTTCCTGAGCTTTCTTTCTGATTGGTTTTCTTTCTTTTTCGTTGATTAAATGTGAAAAAAAAAAAAAAGGCATCTGGGCTGTTTGTCTTTATTTATTTACTTATTTATTTATTTTTATTGATTTCAGAGAGGAAAGGAGAGGGAGAGAGAGATAGAAACATCAATGATGAGAGAGAATCATTGATCGGCTGATTGAGCCTGCAACCTGGGCATGTGCCCTTGGCCAGAATAGAATCTGAGACCCATTAACCCACATGCTCTACACACTGAGCCAAACCGGCGAGGGCCATGGTCAGCAAACTGCGGCTCGAGAGGGGCTCTTTGGCCCCTTGAGTGTGGCTCTTCCACAAATTACCACAGCCTGGGCGAGCCTATTTAGAAGAAGTGGCATTAGAAGAAGTTTAAGTTTAAAAACCGTGGCTCTCAAAAGAAATTTCAATCGTTGTCCTATTGATATTTGGCTCTGGTGACGAATGAGTTTGCGGACCACGGGGCTAGGGCATGGGCTGTTTGTCTTTGGTTGGGGTCGGCGGATGGCTTCTGGAGAGGGCGAAAGCAGGGAAGAGAGCACAGATGGTTCTGGAATGGATGCTGAGGGACATGACTTGTGTTCTGTGATGACTTCTGAAATTCCCTGTCCCGCCATTCCGCACTCCACATCCCCCAGGATGCTCTTTCTAAACGGTGGTTCCAGCATCCTCCCGGCCAGGGGCCTGGGACTCCATGGCTGATCCACTCAGCATCCCCGAGAATGAGCTGTGCGGTCTCAGCAGGTCCCTCTCCTTCCCTGGGCCTCGGCAAGCTTTTTTATTTTTATTTTTTATTTTTTTTTGGGGGGTGAGGTGGGTATAGATTGTTAAACCCACGTGGTCTCATCAAGATGGGCAGATCTGCTGCTTTTGCGCCAGGCTTACGGGCCCCACTCGGATCACCGTGGCACCCCTCCCAGCGGCCAGTGCTGGTGCCTGACATATTTTCAAAGAGTCGTAGGTGAAGAGCACCTCACTCTTAGCTCACAGGTGCCCTGAAGCACCTCTGGGTACAATGAGAGCACAGTGAGGAACGTTCATGAGGAGGCCATGGGGGTCCTTCCAGCCGCTTCCGCTGGTTCACCCCCTGGTCCTGCAGAGCAGCCTGGGCTTGGTCCTGGCCAGCAGTGCTGGCGTTAATCAGACACGAGCAGAGCAAGGACGATGGGCCAGGCACGGAAACTCGGGGCGGAGAGCTCTGATGCCGGCAAAGGGCAAACTGAAAAAAACAAGAACCTTGTCCCAGGGTGACCCATCCTCCCCTAGCATATCGCTAGTCTCGTGGTTTAGACCCTCTGACCTTTTGCTCCTGAAAGATAACGTCTAGGCCTCAGTATGTCAGCTCCAGGTCCAGAAAAGCAGCAAAACTGGACACGTGACACGTTGGCTGCCTTAGGACCAGCTGCACTGACTAATGATCCTCTGCCCCAACACTGACCTATCAGTGGAGACCATGACCCTGACAGAGCACAGCTGGAAAGCTGGTGAATATTCTTTGGAGACCTGCCCTAAGATTTCCAGCAGAGAGAGAGAGAGAGAGAGAGAGAGAGAGAGAGAGAGAGAGAGAGAAGAGAAATATGCTCAGGACAAAGGACCCAAATTGCATACCCGTGCCATTCCCTTCCTTCTCCTTCCCCAACAGGGACATAGCCCCTAACCCTCTAACCTCTAAGGCAGCAGTTGCCAGCCTTTCAGACCTCACGGACCACCAGTGGTCTGCGAACCACGTGTTGGCGACCGCTGCCCTAAGGGACCCCATGACACTTACAACCGGGGGAGCAATGGGCAGCGGCAGCTCATCCTGGGCTCGCCCCCGAACCCGTCTCCAAGGCCCCCTCTTCCCCGACTTCTCCGTGAGCCGGAGCCGCCCCGCCTCGGCTCTCCTGTCGCTTCTTCTGTGCCCTCCCTCGTTTCACTGTCCTAGGCACACTTTTGTGGCCATCGTGGACCCAGCACCCTTTGGCTCAGTGCTGCGTAGCCCTTCTCGTTGGATGTCCCCATCCCTCGCCCTCTTTTCCTGAAATAAAGTCATGTTTTCTTTACCCACCATCTGAGAGGGCTTATTTGGCTGCCCGGGCCTCATGGCAGTCACCAGCAGTGATTGCGGTTGTGACGGAGGAATTTTAGCTGGTGGCAGCTTGATCTTTTGGGGAAACTTTGAGCAAATGACAAGAGGCACATTACACAAACCTTATAAGTCCTAGGGCTGTATCTAGCCAAAGTTATAGACGACATAAAAGATCACTCCAGGCTGGACTGCCTGCGAGGCTCCGCATGCAGGCCAGGTTAGGGGCCATTCTCCGGCCACACCCACAGGGACCGGTAGAGGCTGTGAGAGATGCGGATGGTGAGGTCCCGGAGGGAGTGAAACTGGTCCTGCCATTTCAGAAAGCTGTGTTAACCCGCCGCAAAGAACCTAACTCCCGTGGCTGCATACCTTTTTTTTTTCTTTTCTTTTTTCTTTCCCTGAACAGGTTTTATTACAGGCAGGGGATGGGGCTCCGTCCTTGGCTACTGCCTTCCTCGTGGCTGCAGAGACATTGCTCAGCGCCTCTCTCTTCCTCTTGGCGTGGATGGGGTCCTCATCCTTTTCTGGATAATCTGCGGGGCCCTCTTGTCCTCAGAGATCCGGAGCGGCTCTAAGTGCACCGCTCAGAGGGGGCAGAGCCACGCACCTTTGAGACCGGGGCCTGCAGGATCGTGGGTGGCTGGTGAGGCGCCTGCGGCGGCCGCTCACAGCTTTGTCCCCTCGTGGCCCTGCTGAGACCCACAGCCACGGGGGAGCGCAGAGCCGTGGCAGAGGCCACGGGGGAGCGCAGAGCCAAGGCAGAGGCCCCGGGGTCCATGGCGGCGGATCCCCCCCGACCAACCAACCTGCTGAACGCCTTTTTGAAAAGAAAGGGTTTGCTGGGCCAGAGGAGGACCAGGCCCCCAGCATGAGGTCTAAGCCGCCAACAGCAGGATTCGGTGGGGAGGCCACGTGTCCCCCGTCCCCGAGACCACGTGCGTTTTCCTGTTTTGTTTTGGGGAAGGAGGATGCCATTTGTTTGGACGGAATTTGCATCGGCTGCAGAAGGGGCTGCGATAAGGGGAAGCGGGGACAGTTCGGCGATAGGAGCCCAGGCTGGGGAAGGAAGGACCGTCCACTGCTCTGATTGGTTTCAGGCAGCGGTCCAGAACGTCCATCCGCGCGCAGGATGCGGGGATGGCTGGGGTCAGCAGGCCAATGCCCGGAGGTTGACTCAGCTCCAGAAACATTCAGGGAGGTCAGCAGTCTTTCGTCAGCTGGCCCACAGCTACGAACTGGTTAATTAACTCACCACTGCAATCATTCACCGGTGAGTTGTTCCTGTCTCCTTCGCTCGCTCTCTTGCCTGCTGTGATTTAATTTAGAACATCGCAGAATTGTTCTTTTGCCAGCTGTGTAGCAATAAGTATTAGCAACTTCAGAAATATTTATACCCCATGACCCGGCACTTTCACATTCGCAAACCCGTCTTCCAGAAACCTCCACGCGCAGATAAAGCCTTGTGCAGAGCAAACGTGGGAAATCGTTATCTAGGGAAAGAGAACAATGAAATTCAAGCACACTGATATGACAAACTTTGACACAGCTGATAAAGACTTTATTTATAAAAAGGTTTGTAAAAACATGGAGAAATGCTTATTTGCTCTAAGAGTTGAGTGGGGGAAAGCAGGATATGAAGTTGTATAGGCAAAATAATTTGCAAAAGAACACCAGCAAATGATGCTGAGAAAAAAAAAAGACTGGAAGGAAATACAATGAAATGCAGTAATGAGGGTCTCTGGGTAGTGGTGAGAAGATTAATGACTTTTTCTCTTCTATTTTCTTCTTTTCCCTCCAAGTTTTGTACACCGGGCAAGCTATCCCCTCTCAACCCCGCCCCTAACCCAATTTCACTGTAAAAAAAAAAAAAAGAAGAAGAAGAAGAAAGAAAAAGAAGGAAGAAGCCAGGCTTTTCTCCATCCTTCTCCCAAAGCCTGGAGTGCATGCCTGGCTGGGTGCCTCCTCGTGTGTACCTGCCCTGGGCTGGCCTCAGGCAGGCCCAGGACAGCCTCCAGCTGGGTCCTGGTGGGCAGAGCATCCCTATGGGGCAGGCGGAAGACCCCACATTCCAAATGTAAGTCCTAAGCTGGAAGGACAGAGAGTTCAGGGTTCCCAGGGGTTCTCCACCTTAAATCACCCCGAGTCCTGGGCCCAGCGCCAGGGCAGGTTCGGAAGGAGGTGATAGAGCCCAGGAATCACTTTGTTAAGCAGCTTCCTGAGGCCTGGGACGCAGTGGTTCCCAGCTGCACTTGGAGAAATCAGAACTGGTCCAACCCAGCCACAGGCTCCCTCCTCCCCTCCAGCTTCTGCAGGAGAAAGCGGTGCTGCCTCTGGGGATGGAAGGAAGGGAGGAGCCGGTGGGCCTGGAGCGGGGGAGGGAAGCCGGCTGCTGGGTCCAGGCCCCGGGGGTTGCCGGCAGCAGGTGCACCCAGGCCAGTCTTCCGCGCCCCGCCTGGCCCTGGCGAGGGCCCGGGGACGTGAACGTGCTGGGAGGTCCCGGGCTCGCTGGAACCGCGAGGCCACGGTGCAGGCTGACATGGGCGTCCATGTCGGGCTGGGCGTCCAGGGGAGCCAGGAGCCTGCGGAGGCCTGGCACCCGGCGGGCGGACGCGGAGGCCGTGGCCCGAAGCTCAGCGGAAGGAGCGCAGATCCAGCCGCTCCGAGCTCGGCGGGCGGCAGGCTGGCCCGGAGGGCGCTCGGCGGCTAGACGGGGATGAACACGGAGGATCTGAGCTCCTCCTCGGACACATGAAAGGGAGGCCCTGGGTTCGCCGCCCCCGGCGGGTCCTGGGGAGAGGCCTCCTCTTCCTCCGGAGTCTGGAAGGAAAGACAGCAGCGGGGTTGGAAGCAGAGCCCAGGCTCTGTGCAGCCGCTGGTCTACCCCAGAGCCTCTCCCCAGCTCCAGGCCTCTGTCCGTCCATCTGAGGGCACAGGAACGAGCAACTCCTCCCCAGAATCCCCAGGCTTGACTCACCGCCCCTCCCCTCTGGCCTCCTTCTACCCCCATCTCTCCCCCCGCAGGGAGCCCAGGCCCGGCTCTGGCTTTAGACGTTGGAATCCTGCCAGCCCCGAGCTCTCTAAGCCAATGGTCGCCAACCGGTGGCCCCTGAGGGCTGAGAGGTTGGCGGCCGCTGGTTTAAGCTGTGATTCCCCCCAAGCCAGCCAAGAATTTCCGGGACGGGAAAGGAAGTAAGGTCAAGAGCTCTGGGTCCACGTGGAACGGCCGAGGCCTGGGGTTAGGACGGGGTAGGGGGGTGGGGAGCAGAGTTTGGGGAGCAATGCACGGTCAGCGCGGGGCCAGGAGAGGTGGCCTTAGCCGCCGGGTGCCCGTGTCCACACCTGGCCTGGGCGCCGGATGGCCGGGATCTCCGCGGAGGGGCTGGCGGAGGGGGGCTGGGGGCCCGCTGGGGGCCCGATGGGGGCCGAGAGGTTGACCACCGTGTACTCCGGGACCAGGCGGCTCTGGAACAGAGAGAGACTCGGTCAGAACAGCCCATTCTTGGCAGCAGGGCCGGTCTGGGAAGGGAAACGCCGGCGGGGTGGGCACGGGGAGGACGTGGCCGTGAGGTCGGTCCCTGATCCCATTGCCTGGGTCTCAGGGGGACGTGGCCGAGCCACCGATCCTCCCCAAGACTCCGTTTCCCAAGCTGTAAAGTGGGGACAAGCATTTCCCCCTCAGGGTTGTAATGAGGCCTCCTGACAATGTTTTATCACTCCGCAGCGGGACTCCTGCCAGGATGAGTTTGTTTTCATTATTGCCATTTCCAGCTCTGGCCGCAGGTTCTCTGTAATAGGCTCAGAGAGAGCAGGGCTGGACATCTCAAAGATGCACCCAGTAGCAAACAGCGCGGGAAGAATTCTCCAGAGGTCGTACGTCTGAGGAACCCCTCCTAGGTCAGATGGGGAAACCGAGGCCCAGGGAGGAGAGGCGGGTGGTGCAGCGGGACTGGGACCTCCCTAACATATACATGTTCACGGGAAGACGGGCAAGTTACGTGACCTCCCTGGCCCCGGTGCTCCCCTCTGACAGGCTGCAGCTGGGAGCGTGTGAGATGAGACAACCCATCAGGCCAGGAGCCGCCTGGCCGGGCCCTCAGGACAGCTGTGCCCGGAGAGACTGGGCCAGGGGCCTTGGCCACCCCCAGCCTGTGCCCTGCCTGGATGATGTAAGGACCTGGGAGCAGGAAGTGGACGGGCCTGGCATCCCAACCTGAGGACCAAGGATATTTTTCCCACTGATTCTCAGAGAGAGACGGGGACAGAGGGGGAGACACAGGGAAAGAGAGAAACATCCATGTGAGAGAGACACGTTGACTGCAAAACTGAGACCCTTCGGTCCTCTGGCTGACGCTCTGAGCACTGAGGCAAACCGCCAGTCCTTCACCCCCACCTCCAGACCCGCTCAGAGCGACAGAAGCCAAAGAAAAGCGGACGTTTCCAGCTGGTCCCGTTCACAGGATCTGGCCTCCGACCCTCCGGGGACACCTGTTCCGTCCTCCTCTTAACAAAGCCCCCTCCCCAGCTCCTCTGCTGGCCGCCCAGAGCCCCTCCCACAGGGGCAGGAGCAGGGGCAGGGGCAGGGGCAGGAAGCAGCGGGGCAGCCCTCCCAGGCCTGGGGCAGGCGCTCCCTCAGCTGCCAGAGGTCCTCTCTCCTGCCCCAGCGCCTCCCCGGGGGGGGGGGGGGGGGAATTGGGGAGGGGCGAGCCCCAGAGGAACAGCCCGTGGCAGCCCCTGTCCATCTCCTTGACCTTTCTCTCACTCCTGCCCGCCACCTTTAGCCTTGTCCAGTTTCCTGAGACAACAACAGCTGCTTCCTGAGCCACGCCCAGGACCCCACTCCCGCCCCCGCCCAGCCCCTCCCCAGAGGGACCGGGCCTGAGGCTTTGTCTTGGCTGGCGCCAGGAAAGAAGTCGGAGTAGCCCCTTTCCTGGCCCCCGAGTTTAGGAAATCCGAGTGGAGGCATCTCTGTAAACAGCGGAGGGAGGAGGGATGGCTGAGGCAGGTGGGGCTTCGGTTTCCTGAACCCGTGATGCTGCCGACCTCTCCTCAGGTGGGCAGGGCAGGGCCAGGGCAGGGTCCCCTCAACAGGGAGGTGGGCAAGCTACCCACCCCCACTCCTTCCTCCCCTGGGTTCCCGGAGCACCACCTTCAGGCTGCGTCTCAGAGCCAAGGAAACGCTCAGGGAGCACAGGAGGGCGTTCTGAAGAGAGGAGAGACGGGAGGTGAGAAATCTGGGTCCAGGGCTCTGTGTGGACCACCACTTGCTGTGTGACCTGGGGCAGGATGTTTGCCCTCTCTGGGCCTCCGTTTCGTCTTTGGCACAAGCAGACCAGAGCCTGTAGCTGTCATACTCCGGTGTGTGCGTCAGAATCCACAGGAGGCCCAGTTGGGAGAGGATATTCCTGACACCATCTGCCCCACCCCCACCCTCAGGGGCTCTGACAGAGGGTGCGCACCCAGCTCGGAGGAGGGCTGGCCTAGATGATCCCACTCCGGATCCAGCGCTGAGCGCCTCTGATTGGAAAAGGGGTTGCGAGGAGGGCGCTGGGCCCGGCCCTCGGCGAGGAGGAAGGCTGTCAGCTCACAGCCTAAAGGGCTGGTCTTGGGGCTCAGAGACGCCCTGGTGGCAGGAAGCTATCCCTGCCTCGAGGTCAGCCACGGAGGACCAGGTAGGGAGATGCGGAGGCGGAGCCTGGAGTCCTAACTTCCAGCCCTGAGGGTCCCAGCGCGGCCTTGGCCTGCTTCCTGACTCACCACGTGGGAGAGGTGGACCTTGTCATTCTTCTCTGTCTCCGTGTCCAGTTTACCTGAAAGAGACGAGAAGGAGCACCTTGAGGCCAGGAGCAGCCAGGAGTAGCCTGCAGCTGCTCCCACCGAGGGGACTGGCCTCCCTGCATCTCTGGGCAGGGGCTTCCAGAGGGAGCTGGCAGGGGCTTCCCAGAGGGAGGTGGCAGGGGCTTCCCGGAGGGAGCTGGCAGGCAGGTTGGGCAGAAGTGCCCTTTCTAGCTCAGCCCATGGCAGTGACTGGGTCTTTTGAGGTCAGTACGTGGATACCCCCTCGTGTGGGCCAGAACCAGGCTGGGAAGGTAAAATTCTGCGTGCCAAAGTCATTGCTTCTTTTTTTAGCCCTCACCCAAAGAGTGAGAGCATGTTTTCCACTGATTTTTAGAGAGAGTGGAAAGGATGGGGGAGGGGAAGAGAGAGAAACCAGTGTGTTAGAGACCATCAGTTGGTTGCCTCCTGCCCGCACCCAACAGGGGGGTGGGGGGTAAAGGGGGTGGGAATGGGGATTGAACTTGCAACCAAGGTATATGCCCTTGACCAGGAATCAAACCAATGACCCTTCGGTCCATGGACAGACACTCTAACCACTAAGCTAACCAGCCAGGGCTGAAGTCATTGCTTCTTAAACCTCAGAGTGCATCCAGGGCCCCAGGACATGTGATTAAATGCAGATTCTAATTCAGTAGATTGGCCTTGGGGCCCAAGAGTCTGCACTGCTACCAGGCTACCAGAAGGGGTCACTGCTGCTAGCTGGGGCCCACAGTTTGGGAGGCAACGTGCTAAGAGGGTCTGAGGCTTGGCCAGGATGCTCCCACCTGTACACTCCTCCCCGGCTCCTCTGTGGGGATTTGGGGACGTGGACAAAGCTGACATTTCTTCCTGGGGCCGCACAGGATGTCCCCTTGGCCCATGGCCATCTGCACAGGGACAGCACTACCAGTTTGCAAAGTGCCTTCCTCAGCATCGTCCTGGATCCACTACTTCCTGGCGATGCAGGCACAGGGCAATGGGAGCGCTCGTAATAAGTAATTCCTGCCGAAACCGGTTTGGCTCAGTGGATAGAGCATCGGCCTGTGGACTGGAAGGTCCCAGGTTCGATTCCGCTCAAGGGCATGTACCTTGGTTGCAGGCACATCCCCAGTAGGGGGTGTGCAGGAGGCAGCTGATCGATGCTTCTCTCTCATCATCAATGTTTCTAACTTTCTCATCCCTCTCCCTTCCTCTCAAATCAATAAAATATATATTTAAAACAATAAGTAGTTCCCAATGCCACCGTATTGAGGAGACTAAAGGAGATAAGGGCACCACGAGCTACACAGCCATGCCCAGCCCCTGGCAGTCTCTGTTCCCGTTATTTCAGGTGTTATCTGTGCCGTCCCACACAGGAGCCAGAGCCACACGTGGTCACTGCGCCCTGGAACGGTGACTCCGAATCACACCGGGTTTCAAAGACTCAATCACTAATACCTATTTGTATCTTGTTTCCACGCTGAAATGACCGTGTTTTGGTTATATCGTGTTAAATAAAGTATATGAATAAAATGGACTCCACTAGTTCATTTTTTATTTGTTTCATGCGACTATTAGAGAATTGTAAGCTATAGCCAAAACCGGTTTGGCTCAGCAGTAGAGCGTTGGTCTGCGGGTTGAGGGGTCCCAGGTTCGATTCCGGTCAAGGGCATGTGCGTTGGTTGCGGGCACATCCCCGGTAGGGGGTGTTCAAGAGGCGGCTGGTCGATGTTTTTAGCTCTCTATCTCTGTCCCTTCCTCTCTGTAAAAAATCAATAAAATATATTAAAAAAGAGAGAGAGAGAAAGAGAGAAAATTGTAAGTTATACATGTGGTTCGTATTCTATTTCTTCTGAAGAAGCCATGGCTCAGGAAAGTCAGGCGAGTCCCCCGAGGCCCCACAGCTAAGGAGGGGAAGACCTGGCATTGGAAGCCACGCCTCCAAGGAAGCCGAGGGCCTCCAGAGACCCGGCGGCCACCGTGTGTGTCCCGCTCCAGTTCGAGCACTGGGCCCAGCCTTCCCCGCGGTGGTCACCTCACACGGGAGCGGGACCTGCAGAGACTGAACGTGGCTTCTCTGGGAAGAAATGTCCATCTGGCACCAGGGACCAAGCATCCAGCGAGTCCCCAGGGACCCCATCTCCACTGCCAACCCCCGGAGACACACTCAGCTGGGTCTGCGCTGGCCAGCCCTCACCCGGATGTCATAACTGCGTGCGATTACGTACGAACCCCCAAGAACAATAGGGAGGGAAGTGCCCGATGGCTCCTGATGGACGTGAGCAAGCCGAGGGCCCCCGCTCTCGCTCCCCCGTTTGGATTACTTTTTTCCTAATGCCGATGGCCCCGTGGCTCCCTCAGAAGGGACTCGTGGTGCCGTATCTCAGACAGACACACAGAGCCACAGGGCTTCTCGGGGTGATGGCGGGAACTGTGGTCTCAGGGAGGTCCCCGGCGGAAAGCCCCCTCCCCCACTCCCATCTCCCTGCGCTCACCTCCTTCCTTCCTGCACCGGAGCAGGCACCTGCCGACGACAGCCAGGCCTGTGACCAGCAGAAGGATCAGCAGCACCAGGACCGGTGCCAGGATGCGGGCCTTGGAGTAGGGCATCCTGCAGGAGGCGCCAGGGGTGGTCACCGGACAGCAGCGGCATGCTGTGTCCCCCGACATCCCTGTTCGGAGTCCCAGCCACGTCCCTCGTCTTTCCCAAGGAGATCAGAGGGCACCAGGGACCAAACATCTAGTCCAGCGGTTCTCAACCTTCCTAAGGCTGCAACCCTTTAATAGGCTCTACAGCAGCAGTTCGTGACCTACAGGTTGAGAACCGCTAACAGGATCGCCTCAGGCCATCGGAGAACACAGATATTTACATTACGACTCCTTAACAGTAGCAAAATGACAGTCATGAAGTAGCAACGAAAATAATGTTGTAGCTGGGGGTCACCACAACATGAGGAGCTGTACAAAAGGGTGCCGGCATTAGGAAGGTTGAGAACCACTGATCTAGTCCGTCCAAGGGACCCCAATCTCCACTGCTCACCCCGGGCGCCACTTTGAGCTGGGTCTGCACTTGCCAGCAGTTACCCGGATGTCAGTAACTGCGTGCAACTGTGCATGACTCCCCTTCCTCCCGCCCCCCCCCCCCCAGAACAATCCTTCAGGTGTGGACCCCAGTTGGGTGGGAAAACATGTTGTTGTTCCATATTTCCATGCCTGGCACAGGGCCCAATGCCACGCGTGCAGACAAAAGCTACTGAGCCGGGGTGGCTGATTCCGTGGCCGGGGCAGGGAGAGGGGTGGGCTCTTCGCCTTGGGTGGGACTGCGTGTCCAGGGAGACGGGCTGCTGGCCCCTGGAGGGCAGGGGCCTCCCTGCTCGAGGGCCCTGCGGAGGGGGGGTGAGGGCTGAGTCTGCCCCCACTGCCTCCAGCTGTGGCCGTGGCCGTGGCCGGAGGCTGCCTCCGCCTGGAGGAAGGAATGTGAGGTTCCCATTGGCTCAGAGGCTTTGGCTTCCGGTGTGGGGACGGCCTGGGCGGGGAGCTCGGTCACCTGGATCTCACCTGGACTTGGTGTCTTTCGTGGAGGGGGCGTCCGGGGACGTGGGAGGCTGAGCGGTCCCTGCATGAGGAGAGGTGGCTCTGTGAGGGGGGTGCTCTTCGTTCGGAGGGGTCCCTGCGTACGGAGAGGGTCCTGTGTATAGAGGGGGTCCCGCGGGCTCGGACGGGGGCGTCCCTGCGAGCGGAGAGGCCTCGGCCTCGGCCTCTGTCGTCCCCTGCGTGGTGACTGCCGGGCGGACACCAGGAGAAGAAGCTACAAGTCCAAAAGCAATGCCTCAGCACCTTCCCTGGCCCCTGCGTCCCATCCCCAGACCGCTGAGCCTTGACCCCCTAACCCCTGACCCCTAGCCCTTTCCATCCCTTCCCCTCCCCATGACCAGTTTCTCGGAACACCCCCACGTAAAGGGCACCCCAGGAAGCAAACAGAGGCCTAGAGAATGCCGTGTGTTGGAAGCCATGGCTCAGGTAAGCCCCCAGCTGTGCGCGGCCTCCAGCCTTTCTGTGCCGCAGCCTGTTCTCTGTGGGGAGGCCCATCCCCACCCCCACCTCCAAGATCCAGTCCAGGGACCGCTCGGTAGATGCCTTCCTGCCCTCCCCCTACAGTCCTGGCCAGTCGTCACCTCTGCTCTCCCCTGAGAGTCCTGTCACCATCCCAGGCCCACCCTTACCCCCGAGGACTCAGTAGTCCTTGATCTCCTTCAACAGCCTGGGGGTCGACAGGACAGGGTGGTAGGGACAGGCCCAGAGGTCAGGCAAAAGGCCCAGACCCTCCTGCTGGCCCCTCAGGCTGTGTCTGCTTCCTGGCTCTGCTGCTTCCTGTGTGACCTTGAGCCAAGGACCTAACCCTGCTGAGCCTCCCACTGCTCCGCTGACAATCCCGCTCCCCGGATTGGGGGCCCCACAGCGCAGCGTCCGACGCCAGGCCGGCACCCACTGGCTGTTTCTCTACCAAGAGGCCGAAGAGGGACGGGGAAAACCATGCACTCACTCAATGCTGGGGGCTGGGTGTGCCAAGCTCTGGCCTGGGGCTGGAGGCTTGTGGCAAGAGGCTGGAGGGAGGGGGTGGGGGAGGGAGAGCAGCAGGGACCTGGAGGAAAGGAAAGGCTGTCTCAGGGAGGCAGCGGTCACTGCTCTGGGTCAGATTTCCTGCCACGGGAGCAGCCGGCAGCCTTCCCACCCCCTCCCGCACCTCCACCTCAGAGCATTGCCACCTCTCCCCCTTCCTCAGCCACTCGGGAGCCTCGGATGGTAGAGTCCAGCGGATTGCTGGCCTTCCGCTCCTGCAGGCCCTGGACCTCCCACTTCGTGCAGACCTTCAGCTTCCCTGTCCCCCACTGCCCACCGGCCTTTTCCATGCCGCCCTTCACACCGATGCCAGTTTTGTCTCTAAAATATCTATTGGGCCCCATCACTTTCTACTTTATTTATTTTAAAAAAAATACATTTTATTGATTTTTTTTTTTTTACAGAGAGGAAAGGAGAGGAATAGGGGGAAACATCGATGAGAGAGGAACATCGACCAGCTGCCTCTTGCACACCCCCTACTGGGGATGTGCCCACAACCAAGGTGCATGCCCTTGACGGGAGTTGAATTTGAACCTGGGACCTTTCAGTCCGCAGGCCCACGCTCTATCCAGTGAGCCACACTGGTTAGGGCGCTTTCTACTTTAGAACAGTCAGTGGCTCCTCATTGCCTATACGCTGAAATCCAAACTTTCTCGTGCCGTTCAAGGCCTTTGAAACTCAGGCTTCAACCCACTTTGCCAACTTCACCTCTTCCCCATCCCGTGCGCCGACCAGAGACAGGTACCATCTAGTCCCATTTAAGCCTCCTGCCTCTTCCATACCTTTGACTTGCTGTTCCTTTGTGTGCCATGCCTTTCCTTCCCACCTCGACCCAACTCACCAAGCGCCGGCTCCAAAGTCAACTCCACAACACCTTCCCTGCGAGGAGCCAATCCTCTGTTCTTCGTGTACCCTGTGCGTGGCAATAATTTGTTTATGGGGTCTCCCCGCTAGGCTGGGACTCCCCATGGGCATTTTGCCTAGCCTCTGAGCCAGCGCAGTAGGCCGGTGTCTAGCTCCCAGCAGCCACTGGGGCCAAGCTCCCAGCAGCCACTGCGTTCCCCGCCTCCCCACGTCCACCAGTCGCCTCCTTTCTGACTTACATGCCATCCTGGACTCTTCCTTTCCCACCATTTTCTATTGTGATCTAGATCAGTTTTTCTCCAAATGTTCTGAGTAAATGATCAAATTTGCAGATAAAGAATATTGTTCTTTTCCTTTCCAATATGTGTACTTCTTTTTTTATATTATTGTTTTTTATATTTTATTGATTTTGTACAGAGAGGAAGGGAGAGAGATAGAGAGCTAGAAACATCGATGAGAGTCATCGATCAGCTGCTTCTTGCACACCCCCTACTGGGGATATGCCCGCAACCAAGGTACATGCCCTTGACCGGAATCGAACCTGGGACCCTTCAGTCCCCAAGCGGACGCTCTATCCATTGAGCCAAACCGGTCTCGGCATATGTGTACTTCTTAATCTCGTCTTATTTCATTGCCGAGGGCCTCCAGGTAGTGATGAAGAGTAGTAATGGTAGTGGGCATCTTGCCTTGCTCTGACCTTCCCAGAAATCCTTCGAATGCTTTGCCACACTCTGTGGTGTGCAGGCACGCACACTGGCTGTGAGAGCTAAGACTTAGCTTTTGGGGAATTTTGTGAGCTGGTTGTTAAACTGTTGGTGGCTGGAAATTGGCCACAGAGGGGCATTTACACCACAGAAATGGGCAAACACTACAAGTCGGCATTTCCCCCGTCATTTGTTATTTATATTCACCAGCCCACCACTGCTGTTAGCTTTATTTTATTTAAAAAAAAAATATATATATATTATTGAATTTTACAGAGAGAAAGGGAGAGGAATAGAGAGTTAAAACCATCAATGAGAGAGAATCATTGATCAGCTGCCTCTTGCACACCCCCTTCTTGGGATGTGCCCGAAACCAAGGTATATGCCCTTGACGGGAATTGAACCTAGGACCCTTGAGTCCGACGCTCTATCCACTGAGCCAAACTGGTTAGAGCGAGCTTTCTTTATTTTCAATATCCTAACCTCCACCAGAGAGAGGCCAGCAGGGTCTGATATCAGTATAATATAATGAAAGCAGGAGAGCCTCAAACATAGGATTAAATAATGACCCATGGGTGATGGGATCTGGCAGTGGGAATGGACCTGGGTGGCTCTGGGGCCAGGAGAGGGAGAGAGCAGATTCCAAAGCCGGAAGTGACCTGCTTTTGACTCCTGGCCCCACCACTTCCTGCCGGGAGACCCTGGGCAAATCATTTTATCTCTCGGAGCCTCAGTCCCACCTGTGAAATGGGATACAAAGACCTGCCTCACCCTTACTGACGTGCAGCCTGGGGCTGCGTGCTCCCCTGGGCCTCTCTAGTTCTCCTCCTTTTCGGCTCAGCAGGTCCAGGTGGGATTCCGGGCACTCAGAGAGGTGCTCATCCCCTTCCATTGCCCCAGCCCCAGCCCCAGCCCCAGCTCAGCCCCAGCCCCAGCCCCAGCCCAGCCCCAGCCCCAGCCCCTGCCCAGCCCTAGCCCCGGCCCCAACCCCAGCCCAGCCCCAGCCCCAGCCCAGCCCCAGCCCCAGCCCCTGCCCAGCCCTAGCCCCGGCCCCAACCCCAGCCCAGCCCCAGCCCCAGCCCAGCCCCAGCCCCAGCCCCAGCCCAGCCCCAGCCCAGCCCCAGCCCCAGCCCAGCCCTGGCCCCAGCCCCTAATGTTTCGGAGCTCAACAAGCCCCCCTGAGGCTGATTGCCAGGCACGCCTCACACCTGTCCATCAGACTTCACGATCTGGGAAGAGGAGGTGAGAAGGAAGAGCAGAGGAGCTACAAGCAGGTGAGGGCAGCGTGGCCATGGCCTAGGCCAGTGTTTCCCAAAGTGTGGTACGCGTACCCCCAGGGGTACGGGAAGGGTTTGGTGGGGGTACGCGTTGCACCGGAGTTTGGTGGGGACATGCACTGCACCGTGCTTAGCTGCGCCTAATTCTACGTTCTCATGAGTACGAGGGTACTCAGCGTTACGAAAATGATAGAAGGGGTGCACACATGTCAAAAGTTTGGGAAACACTGGCCTAGGCGATGCTGTGGGGCAGCCCCCGGAGGCAGTGATTACGGGCCCAGCCCGAGGAATCCTCTGGACTCTCTCTGACTCCAGGGAGGGAGGGATCTTTTGATGTCTCCCACAGCTGGGCAGAGAGGAAGGGCACTGAGCCTGGCGGTGGACAGACCTGGGTATGAGGCTGCCACCTACTAGTGGGGTGACCTTGGGCAGCAGGAGGGAAGGAACAGCGGAGGCTCCTGCAGCAATTTTTGTGCCCCACACGCTGATGCACTTTTGACCTGTGTGGTTTCACGGAGCCCCTGAGACACACTCCCATGAGGCATTGCACCCTTCGTGTTGGGGGAACTGGGTCTACTACCCGCCCACCCCTCCACCACCTGTGCGCCCCTCCCCTTCCCCTGGGCGTCTCCCGTCCCCAGCCAGGGCAGCAGAGGCCTCAGTTACCTGGGAGGACCAGCAGAGAGACCAGGAACACCTCGTCAATGCCCAGGATGGTGATGCCGCACCAGTACTCTCCCGAGTCCTCCAGGGTGAGCTCTCTCAGGGTCACGTTGAGCGTGAGCTTCTGGGGGTGGTCTTGGATGGTCACCCTGCCCTCTGTCCTCTCCTGGCCGTCCTCTCTGGCGTAGACTTTGCCGGAGCAGCGGGTGAGGACGACGCCGGCCTTCCTGCACCAGTACTTCTTGTGCCCCCGCAGCTTCTCCGAGTAGCTGCACTGCAGGGACACGGTGCCGCCCTCGAATCCTCTCACCTTCTTCGGCCCCGTCAGCGCTTCGTGACCTGCGACCACAGCAGGGACAGGGGTCAGACTTCCCCGGGTTCGAGCACCGTGGTCAAGACCAGAGGTTTTTCCCCATCACCCCTTTCTGGGGGCAGCCCTGTCAGAGCTGGTGCTCCCGCCCACCAGGGGACCTGGGACAGGGCTGTTGAAATAGATATTTCAACAAGCGGTCTAACAAGCGGTCATGTTCATCGGTGGAGACTCAGATTTAAAGATGGGCTAAAAATAACAATAAATGAAAAGGCAGGATGCAAAGGTATATAGATCCTGGATTATCTGGTTTTATTTGTGTGTGTGTGTGTGTGTGTGTGTGTTTAGGAAAAATACTTTTGCCCTAACTGGTTGGGCTCAGTGGATAAATCGTCGGCCTATGGAGTGAAGGGTCCTGGGTTTGGTTCCGGTCAAGGGAACATGCCTGGGTTACAGGTTTCATCCCCAGAAGGGGGCATGCAGGAGGCAGCCGATTGATGATTCTCTCTCATCATTGATGTTTCTATCTTTCTCTCTATTCCTTCCTCTCTGAAATCAATTATATATATATATATATATATATATATATATATATATATATATATATATATAACCAAAACCGGTTTGGCTCAGTGGATAGAGATTCGTTGGTGGACTGAAAGGTCCCAGGTTCGATTCCGGTCAAGGGCATGTACCTTGGTTGCTGGCACATCCCTTGTGGGGGTGTGCGGAGGTAGCTGATCAATGTTTCTCTCTCATCGATGTTCTAACTCTCTATCCCTCTCCCCTCCTCTCTGTAAAAAAATCAATAAAATATATTAAAAAATAAATTTAAAAAATATATATAAAAGAAAAAATACTTTTAATACACACACAGTCAGCCAATTAACTTTGGTTATCTCTGTCGGTGACATTTCCTTCTCCACAATGCACACTTGGTAATTTGTTCTTTTAAAATATTATTTTATTTTTCTATTACAGTTTCCATTCCATATTATTCTATATTAGTTTCATGTGTACAGCACGGTGGTGGGACAGCCACAGACTTTACACAGTGTTCCCCCTGCTATTTCCAGTACCACCTGGCCCGCTACAAGTTATTACAATATTATTGGCTGTATTCTCTGTACTGTACATCCCCGTGATTGTTCTGTTACCACCCATCTGTCCTTCTGAATCCCTTCCCCTTTTTCACCCAGTCCTCCCGCCCTCCTCCCTCTGGCAACCACCAGTCTGTTCTCTGTCTATGAGTCTGTTTCCGTTTTATTCCTTTGTTTATTTTGTTCTTTAGATTCCACATATAAGAGAAATCATATGGTGTTTGTCTTCCTCTGACTGACTTACTTCGCTTAGCATAAGCCCCTCTAGGTCCACCCATGCCGTCCCAAACGCTAAGACTTCATTCTCGTGTCATGTAAGATGTTATCACATGGGAGACACACCATCATTTTACAGACTGCTAAGACAAACATTGTCAGTTGAACAGCTGGCATCACTTACAAAATGCATCCTCATTGTTGATGGTAAAAGGTTAACAAGAGCCGAAACCGGTTTGGCTCAGTGGTAGAGCGTCGGTCTGCAGACTGAAAGGTCCCAGGTTCGATTCCGGTCAAGGGCATGTACCTCGGTTGCGGGCACATCCCCGGTAGGGAGTGTGCAAGAGGCAGCTGATCGATGTTTCTCTCTCATCGATGTTTCTAACTCTCTATCCCTCTCTCCTCCTCTCTGTAAAAAATCAATAAAATATATTTAAAAAAAAAAAAAAAAAGGTTAACAAGAAAGCAGGCCTGTGAACGGATGGAACGTGAAAATGATCTCTCAGGGTTGCTGTACGTTGAGCAGCAGCTCAAGAAACGTTTGCTGAGTTTAACGTGGCAACTGTCTGGGGGGTGTCTGCTCCGCCTCCGAGCAGGAAAGTGAAGAGAGAGGAAAGCCACACAGCTTTCTCTCACAACCACGAAGGAGCTGGATCCCAGGCCAGGAAACACCTGGTTCTGGGTTCCAGAACCACAAGGGCTGGCCCTCCGAGGGCTCAGGAGGCCTGGGAGGAGGTGAAGCGGGACGCATCAGGCGGGGCTGGGTCACAGCCACAGCACGGCGGGAAAGGAAATGTCGGTTCAGGGGTCCTCTCTCGGCAGACTCACAGCCTCCGCCCTCCGCCCTGCCACGACTCCCCCTGCCCCGTCTCACCTGGGAGCAGGAGGCAGCCCCACAGCAGCACCAGGGGCCTCATGGTGGGCACAGGACACGCAGCGGCGCACGCAGCGAACTGGGAGCGCCTCTGGGGAGCACGCGAGTTTTGACTTCCTCCAGATGAGGGATCCAAGCGAGGAAGGGAGGGGAGGGGCCGTGTGGGTCACCCCGGGCACCCAGCCCAGGGATCCGCCTTTGCCATTCAATCTAACTACCTCCCTCCTCCCTGAACCTCCTCCCCCCTAAAATATTCCACGAGAGCACTTCTCCCAAACCCCTGCCCCTTCCAAGGAGCCTTAACCGTGGCCACAGCCATGCACCTGAGGGGGTCTGTGTGTAAAATCCAGGGAGTCCATGAACTGGGATGAGGAAAAAAAAATTACATCTTGACTTTCTCCAAGCTTTCATATCTTTTCCTTCTGTTATGAGTGTTAGCAGGAACTGTGACAAATCACAGACATTAGCACGTCAAGTTGTCACTGATAACCCAAAATATGGTGGCCGCTCCTCACTGCATGGAAAGGCCTTAGTTATTAGATTGGCCATCAGAGCTGGTTTCTAAAGCGCCAGCAGAGAAGCACATTGATTCCTATATTACACACGTACGTATTTTGAAAACCACTTCAATGTTATTGGTTTTCTTCTAAGCGTGTGTACGTTATATATTTAAAAGACCATTATTCTGCCAGACCGGGGTGGCTCAGTGGTTGAGCATCGACCTATGAACCAGGAGGTCATGGTTCAATTCCCAGCGAGGGCACATGCCCCGGTTGTGGGCTGGATCCCCAGTGTGGGGCGTGCAGGAGGCAGCCTTATTAATGATTCTTATCATTGATGTTTCTCTCTCTCTCTCCCTCTCCTTTCTTCTCTGAAAAAAAAAAAAAAAGACCATTGTTCTGAGAGGGGCCTGTAAGCTTCACCAGATTGCCAAGAGGTCAGTGGTAGAGGTTAGAGCCTCTGGGGCAGTGCCCGCTGCCCCTCCTGCATCGCCGGCCGGAGGGCGCAGTACGCTCCTTGGCCACCGGGCGGCGGTGCAGGCAGGGTTAGAAGCTGCAGGGCTGGCCTGAGCGGGAGCCATCTGCAGGCCGTAAAAAAAAAGTGAATTAGGGGTTTCCCGCCGAAGATTTGAATCCTCCTTGAAAGGAACAAAATGAACAGGGACCCTAGAGGGAGCCCTGACACATGGTTTTTAAAAATAGCTCTGTCCGTGTGTGTGTTTTTTTTGGATTGCAAAGTTCATACAGGTTGTGAGCAAAATTTTACACAATGCAGAAATGCTGGAAAAAAAAAAAAAAAAGAACAATGGGAATGTTTCCTGCAATTCCCCTTCGCTGTCAGAAAACCACTGTTTACATTTGGGCATGGGTACTTCCATAGACGCAGCCAGAATTTTACCCTCTTGTTGGGCTAATATCTGAAGTAACAATTCAGTGGTTCTGGGAGGGGTGTGTGTGTGTGTGTGTGTGTGTGTGTGTGTGAGATTCTGGGGACGTGGGAGACAGGCTTTAACGTCACTGTGACTGGGCGCTCTGCTGGGCAAGACAAAGGTTAGCATCAGCGAGAACCCTGTAAGGAGACCCCAGCCCAGGACCCCACTCCCATTACATGGATGGGCTAACCGGTTTTGCAGTTTTATTTATTTATTTTTTAAAAATATATTTTATTGATTTTATACAGAGAGGAAGGGAGAGAAAAAAATAGAGAGTTAGAAACATCAATGAGAGAGTCATCGATCAGCTGCCTCTTGCACACCCCCTACTGGGGATATGCCCGCAACCAAGGTACATGCCCTTGACCGGAATCGAACCTGGGACCTTCAGTTCCCAAGCCGACGCTCTATCCACTGAGCCAAACCGGTCCCGGCAAGGTTTTGCAGTTTTAAAAACAGATGAAAATAATATTTATTCTAGCATTTGATAGTATATTTCTCTCCTTTCATTTCTGTCTTGTCCTATACAGAATAATTCCTGACCTTCCTGTTTATCTTTTTTTTAAAATATATTTTTATTGATTTCAGAGAGGAAGGAAGAGGGAGAAAGGGAGAAAGAGACATCAATGATGAGAGAGAATCATTGATCAGCTGCCTCCTGCACACCCCCTACTGGGGATCGTGCTGGAACCCGGGCATGTGCCCTTGAGCAGAATTGAACATGGAGAACCCTTTAGTCCTCAGGCCAAGGCTCAATCCACTGAGCCAAACCGGCTAGGGCGTAAAGTTTATTTTATTTATTTATTTATTTATTTATTTATTTATAGCCGTGAAGAGCCAACAAAAACATGAGTGACTATCTGGCTGAGGTCTCCAAGTAGAAGCCCAGAAGGATGAGCTGAGCACGCAAGGTGCTTTTGACCGGGGAAGCACCTGCTGATTTGGGAGTAGCCGCTGAGGGATGCTGGAGTCTAGGGCTCTCCTTACGTATATTCAATCACCTTAGACTAGGACCAAAGGGCTGCACTTGGGAGAAGGGTGAACTGCAATAAACCAGGCCACGTGGGCGCTCACTCAGCTCTGTCATCAGATGGCCCAGGAAATTTCAAGCTTTGAACTCGAATTTAAAAAAATCGGTCCTCGTCTGGTAATGCCCCCTCTTCCCCAGCCCTCATGTATCTTAAAGATATCAATGAAAATCCTTTCTGGAAGAGGATAGCATCAGCCTAAACCTCAAATATTTGAAAAGCATTTTCCCCTCCAAATACAATCCAATTCTATATAATAAAAGGCTAATATGCAAATTGACCAAAGGGTGGAATGACCGGTTGCTATGATGTGCACTGGCCACCCGGAAGCAGATGCTTAAGGCAGGAGCTGCCCCCTGGTGGTCAGTGCGCTCCCACAGGGGGAGTGCCACTCAGCCAGAAGCCAGGCTCTCAGCTGGTGCGTGCAGTGGCGGTGGTGGAGCCTCTCCTGCTGCTGTGGCAGCACGAAGGATGTCCAGGGAGAGGGCCTAAGCCATCAGTTGGACATCCCCCAAGGGCTCCCGGACTGTGAGAGGGCGCAAGCTGGGCTGAGGGACCCTCATCGAGTGCATGGATTTCATGCACCGGGCCTCTAGTATACAATGAAAGAGAACCAGCTCCAGTCTGAGGAGACAAGACTCATAAGCGAGAATGTATAAGAGATGCAGACCCGTGGAGACTACAGAGATTGAAAGCAGCAGGAGTCGCCTTAACACAACTGTTCTCACTGTGTTCAAGGAGGTAAAAGTCAAGCTTGAAATTGTTGACAGGGAATTGGAAAGTATGAAAAATGAGCCAGTGGTTTTGAAAAAGAACCACATAAAATTCTAGGACTGAAAAAATATAATTCTTAGACTTGATAATTCAATAAATGAGTTTCAGGTGAGACACAGTTGAAATGATAATAGTGAACCGAAAGAAACCATCCAGAATGAAGCAGAGGGAAATAAATGGAAGGAAAATAAAGAAGAGAGGGAAGAGAAATGGGGATTAACATCAGAATGCCAAACATACGTTTTTATTGGAGACAAAAATGAAAGAAGCTAGAGGATGTGACACAAGCAGTAATCAAATAAAGTAATTGCGAGAATGTCCCAAATGTGAAGAAACACATCATGGGCCCTGGCCGGGATTCGAGGTTGATTCAAGTGTTGCCTAAGGTTGTGGGTTTGATCTCTGGTCAGGGCATCCAATGAATGCATAAATAAGTGGAACAACAAATCGATGTTTCTCTCTCGCTCTCTCTCTCAAATAATTTTTTTTTTAAAAAGAAACACACCATGTGTTTTTTAATATGCATATGATTATAATATTCGGGGTGCTATGCCCAGGGCCTGGGCCTCTCTTGCCTGGGTTCAGTGTGGACACTTGATCTGTGACAAAGGTGGCACCGTCGAGTGGGGCGGGAAGGGAGGGCTTTTCGGTACGCATGTTGGAACACATGGAAAAAATGCGAGCTGTGGCCCCTGCCTCCCATCACCCACGGAAATCAGTTTGAAGTGGATTCCAGAACTAAATGAAAAGGGCAACATGGCATCACTTTTTGAAGATAACGCGGCATCTGTTCATGGCCTCGGGGGTGGGGGAGGAGTTCTTAAACAAGAAAACAAGACACCAAAAGCGCAGGCCACAGAGGAAAGACTGATGCCTCCGACTGTGTGCACATTAAAGACAGCTCACCCAAGGGTGCCACGAAGAGTGAGAAGACATGCCCACAGAGTGTGAGGGGGAGAATCACGGCAACGTGAACAAATCGTTAAAAAGAAAGGGTGATACTGAGGGAAAGAAGCCACGTGTGCCAACGCCATCTCGTAAGATTCCATTTAGCTGTCGGAAAGCAAACCAAACGGAACCACGAAATGGTATGGGATTGTGATGTGTAGGTGGCAGGAGGCAGAAAGGATCACCAAGGGAGTCGGGGCAGTGGCCTTCTCTGTGGGGAGACGTACTGTGAGGGGCCACCGGGCTGGCAGCGTTTATTTCTTCACAGGCATGGTGGCTACACGGGTGCTTGTTAATTTGTGAAGTAGTCTTTTTTTTTTTTTTTAATATTTCTTTATTGATTTCAGAGGGATCAGAGGGAGAGGGATATATAGAGAGAAACATCAATGATGAGAGAGAATCACTGACCGGCTGCCTCCTGCATGCCCCCCACTGGGGATTGAGCCCACAATCGGGGCATGTGCCCTTGGCCGGAATCGAACCTGGGATCCTTCAGTCTGCAGGTCGACGCTCTATCCACTGGGCCATACCGGCTAGGGCTGTGAAGTTGTCTTGTTGGTGCACTCTCCTGTGTATCTAGTATTCTAGTTCATAAATCTAAACCTTGGTTTTTGAGATGGAATAACAGAAACAACAAATAGGAAACGTTACCAGATATCTACCCCCTTTCCCTCCCCATGCCCCCCCCCCCCCCCCAATAATAATTACAGTCTCCCTGGTCCTCACTGAGATGTTAATGGACTGAGCGGCCCTTTTCCGGACCCTCCTGACTCCCCCTCTGGAGGTGTGTCTGGGAGCCAGCCCATTTCTCACCTTGGAATTGCTCCCTGCTCCCACAGCGTCTGGCACAGCGTCTGGGCT